CGGACCCAGCAGGGCAGGGTGCATGCAGAGTCAGAACCATGGCGCTGAGTCTTTAAACTTGTGAAAAAAAACATGCTCTGCAGTCTCATCTACTTCTCATTTACCGTCCTCCGTCTCCTGATGAACGGCTCCGTCTAATTTAAGAGTTTATTATCGACAAAAAAAGGAGGCATCAGGTTCCTCACTCCCTGAAAAATAAAACTTCCCTGTCACTGTTTATTTCCCTCGAGTTAGACTTACTTATTTGCGTGCTGAAATTTAGAACAAAGCCCTTCTTATTTGGTCTTAAAGTGGAGCTTGTTGCCTCACATCAGAGGACGCCTCCCGCTGTATTTGTATTGATCTGACAAAGCCGGTACATGACCAACATGCATTCCCCTCCAATCCTCCTAAATCTCTCTCTCTCTCTCTCTCTCTCTCTCTCTCTCTGCATCTGTCAGTGCCAAACAGCTCAATACAAGCAGAGAGCACATCTTTATGATGCTAGCAGCTCCTGATCACAGCACTCAGAATAAGACAGTTCAGAGGAGCACAGCGTCCTCAGGAAGCCGGCATGATGTGCTCCATAAATAAATAAGCAGTCGGATAGAAGAGCCGCTGCGGGACATCGAAAAGATTTGCTTTTGTTCAATGATTTTTCTTACATCTCTGTGCCCTGCCGACTAAAAACATCATGTTTATGTAACGATCGGGCGCCAACATTTCAACATTATTGTCGACGAGTAAATAAGTCAAGCGCAACTCATGTATCACTTCTTAAAGGTGCAATGTGTCGGATTCTTACACCTAAAGGCAGGGTTGGTCCATTTCAAAAACTAGCATGATTTTGAAAGTAGCATTCCTTCAGTGCTCCGTCTGCACCCACCGCCTTCCCTCTGCGCTCCATCTTAAGCCACGCCTCACATCCACCTTATGACATCACACATTGACCTTATGACATCACACATTGACCTTATGACATCACACATTGACCTTATGATATCACACATTGACCTTATGACGTCACACACTGACCTTTGTTATCGTTCCTTTGAGCTGTTTGACCTCAGTTTGTGATCCCTAACCACTTCCTGTTTCTATGCTTTAACTTCATGTCCCAACTTTCCATCTACATGTACAGGAAGGTCCAGACTTTTCTTCAAAGTAAAAGCATGGTTGAATTCAAACAGGAAGTAAAGTTTTCTCAGCTTAAGACTTTATGTAACCTTCCATCTAACAGAGGGTCCTTACTTTATTTCAAAGTAAAAGCATGGTTGAATTCAAACAGAAAGTAAAGTACTCTCAGCTTAAGACTTTATGAAACCTTCGATCTTACCAGACGTTCTTTTCTTTATCTACTCAAACAATAACTCGGATCGATTGAAGAAATCACTGGCAGAAGAATTCATAAAATGATAATGTTCTTCAGCTCAACCACGATGCCTCTGAGATATATTTATCTTTGGGAGAACAGATCCTGGTTCCTGCTGCTTTCGTGCAGGCTGGATATATCAGAATCCTTCATGAACGTCCTGATTCATTTTCTCCTTAATAATTGATGACACAGATATTTCCGTGGCCTATTTAGCGAAGCCCAATGAGACTTTACGTTGTGACTCTCGTTTCTTTCCTCGTTTGGTAACAAGCTGTGGAGAGATTTTTACGGGAAAGTCATGAATGAACACTGAAACCATAACGAGGGAATGTAGTAGTTTCATTATAATTAGGGCTGGAACGATGATTTAATTAATTAGTCATGTGATGCAATACTCATCAATACTGATTTCAGTACTTAATGATGTATTTGTTGGTCTCTGCTTCTCAGTTGTGCAGATTCAATTAAAAGCACGCTGCAGACTAAGCAGCGGGAGCAACTTTGGGTTCACTGAAAATAATTGACTTTCAATGCAATTAATATTCAAATAATCATGATTAATTATTGCATTTTAGCGATTTATCTCGATTAAAAAATGTAGTCGTTTGACAACCATAAAATAAGAAAATAAAAAGGGATATAAAAAGGAAGTGCCAAGTGGGACTAGTGGTAATTAATCCCTAACTGAAATATGAATTAGTCACATCTCTTTGAGTTTTTTTGTCTTTAATATTTTGTTTTTCCGTCTGTCTCTTTCGCTCTCACTGCGAGGAGAACGACTTCTTCATCGACTGATCCGACATCAGAGGGAAAACGTCTCAGCAGCAGCTCACTGTGAAACGGCCTCACTCTGTATTTTGGTGTTTTTATTCAAACTGAGACGATAACTGAGTGATGCATCGATGCAGCTTTCTTAATAAGGCAGAACGTGAAGTACATCTGATCTCTCACAGTTTAGTTCGCCCTGTGCTGCTGAAGCCGTTATGTCACTGTGACTGCTTTACTTCTTTAGACTCTGCAGCGTGAGGAAACATTACGAGGACAAACCAAATAAGATCGATGTCGTGACTTATATGTGAGAAAAAAACAACGCTGGAAAACAGAAGTTTTTCTCCATGAATGTGAGATATTACAGATTTTTCTTGGCTGATTGTTGTTGGACTTTTTTGACTTTTGGGGGGGGATCTTTTTTTTTTTAAATTTTGGTTAGACCTCTCAACTGGAAGGTCGGGGTTCGATCCCCAGCTCCTGCCGCCACATGTGCGATGTGTCCTTGAGCAAGACACTTAACCCCAAGCTCCTCCTGCTGCTTCGTCGCTCGCATGTGAACCATCTTGTGACAAAAAGGATCTGCAACAGTAACATGTCCTCATTTCAGAAAACAAAAAAGAAACTCCCTGATACTCACCTGGTAGCATTTCCTTGAGGTTTTGTGTTTACGGTTTTGTACCGTAAACAAGCTTCTCTATAGCGATAATATCAGGGTTGTGGTTTTCCTCTTATTGTAAAGTGAGAGTGTCTTGGTGTTTTTTCTGTGGGAGGCTTACTCAGTGAAGGTCTGTGACATTTCAAACTCTTCCTCCATTAGTAACCAGTCTGACCGATTGGCCTTGAAGGTCACAACAATGGACCTGTGAATCAATTTAATCCATTCCATCTCATTTCAGTTTCTCAAAGAGGCAGGGACACAGTGTTTTCTCTTTTTCTAAGAAAGGACACCTCGCCGTGACAAACTCCGGTCTCACAGCAGACAAAAAAAAAAAAGTAAATTAAGCATCTTCTGGAAGGATGGATATCCCTTTGTCACAAGTCTTTATATCAAAGGAAGAATGTGTGACTTTTTGATCCAGTAGATCGTCCTTGAGCACCAGCATGAAACCAAAACAAACTGAGGTTTGGCCACGCCTCCTTCATCCTCTCCTACAGCCACACTTAGATTAGAACGCACCGTCATGAAGCATCATTAAGCGCTTTGCCTGAGTCTTAGAAACTGTTGTCTCAGGTCGATGTGTTGATTAGCGTTCAGGATGATCGTGACACCAGTCAGTGTCGGTATCAGAGCTCATTATGCATGTTCATCTTGATCGCCCCCATTTTACATCTGACACTCTGATTGGCTTGTTGCTGTGACTGACTGCAAGTCAGAAAAATACCTGAGACATGCTGTTGATCTTTGGTCATAGATAAACAATAAAAACACCTGAAGCCCTTTAACACAGGCGTCATCCTCCTCCTCTTCATCCTCCTCTTCATCCTCCTCCTCCTCCTCCTCCTCTTCCTCCTCCTTGTCCTCCTCCTCTTCATCCTCCTCTTCCTCCTCCTTGTCCTCCTCCTCCTCTTCATCCTCCTCCTCCTCTTCCTCCTCCTCCTCTTCCTCCTCCTCCTCCTCTTCCTCCTCCTTGTCCTCCTCCTCTTCATCCTCCTCCTCTTCATCCTCCTCCTCCTCCTCTTCATCCTCCTCCTCTTCTTCCTCCTCTTCCTCCTCCTCCTCCTCCTCCTCCTCCTCTTCCTCCTCCTTGTCCTCCTCCTCCTCATCCTCCTCCTCTTCTTCCTCCTCCTCCTCCTCCTTGTCCTCCTCCTCCTCTTCCTCCTCCTCCTCCTCCTCCTCCTCTTCCTCCTCCTCCTCCTCCTCCTCCTCCTCCTCCTCTCCTCCTCCTCCTCCTCCTCCTCCTCCTCCTCCTCCTCCTCTTCTTCCTCCTCAGTAACCTTCAGAGTATCCTCTCTCTGTATCTTTCATCCTCAGGGCCTCATGACGCTCTGATATCTTTTACTCGATGTGTGTTAACTTTAATTCCACCATTTTAAAAACGCTTTACCTACCAGAGAGAAGAGAAGCTCACGATGGATAATCACTGAACGCACGGGCAAAGTTCAGACCTCTGCTGGCTCTTAGACGGTGTATTGCAGATAATCGTTGCCCATTAGCATTTCTCCGTCTAATGAACATGTTAGGAATGATGTTTTTGTTCACAGCTCTGCCTATTCTGTTTTTGCAGGAAAGGAACATTTGTATGTATTTTATTTTTCGCTAAGGAGCCTTTTTTTTTTTCTTTTTGTTTTTCACAAACAGGTAACTTAATTTCATGTCCATGGACGTGTTGACGTTGTGCGGCAGGCTGTTAATGAAAGCGCCCGTAGGACATTTGGAACGTGTGGATTAGACTTGGAACTGACTTTAGTTTTTTCGTTGTCTTAGAAGAGATAAAATATAGAGATATGATTTTTGATCGCCCGGCCCGAATCTATTGTGAGGAAGGCTTGTATTGAGCATTTAAAACAAAAAAGATATTCTTTATTGAGGAGGAGGAGGGTCATTAAGAGTAGACAAAAAATGAATCTGCAACCCGTCGAGTCGCCCCCTGCTGATGGTAGAAATAATTCTTCTTTACAAAGATCGCACTTCCACTTCTCCTATTTGAATACATGTATTCTTTCATTTCCTCCTGAGCACCAACACTCTAAACAAAGCTCTGATAATGGCTTGTGTTTGTAATTTTAAGACTCTTTCATACCGACAATTACTGTGTGTAAAAAAAAATACCAACAAACAACAGAAGTGAAAATGTCTCCCTGCAGAGCAGTTTTTACTGATGCCCAGTTCTCCCTCACTAATTTCCATCTTTCTCTGTTTTGCTCTCTCCTGCAGAGGCGCCTCCCTCTGGGATGTCCAAGAATGGATACTTCTTTCAAGAAATGGGTGAGTCTGGGTCAACCGCGAGGATTCATGGTTGAGACTGCTCAATGCATTTTCAGCTATTTTCCACCAAAAAGTTTGCCCGTAATAAGAGATCTTTGAGTCGGAGACAGTGGGATCCTCTGATCACGACGGGAGGCAGAATAATATTTCTTTCTCCTAATTCTTCCAGTAATGCTCGTCGTACAGTATATTCACAGTGAAAGATGAGATTTCCAGATAAGAGCTGCAGCACAGAAGCAGAAAAAGCTCTCTCCTCGTCTCTCACGCTCCAATGCTCTCGGATAAAAAATAATGAACTTTGGCTCTGGCTGTTATGATGACGGCGGTTTCATTACCTTCACGCCAAGGCGAGTCCCCCAATTAGTATGTGCAGCACAAGCAGTCAGGACAGAACATGCGAGCGTGCGTGCGTTGGATCTCCCTGTCTCCCCGAGCCAATTATTCCCCTCCTGCAACACACGGATTCACTCTCAGCACCCCCCCCCCCCCTCCACATATCTGTCTTTATTAGGAAATCTTTAATCACCATATAAACGCAGTTACATTACCGCTGGCTCGTGAGAATCATCCAGCATGGTCACTGCAGTGGTTCGTTAGTGAGGGTCAGTCTGAGGGCTGAGACGCTCTCCTCGTGCACACCGAAGTCTGAGAGCAAGCAACGACAACATTTCATTTATGTATCTGTGCAATTACATTCTTCGTCTGGAATTATCATCTTTTTAATTATGTTTTTTTTTTTTTAAATGGCCGCTCATATTGGGGTCAAATGTTTGATTTTTTTCAACAACAGAGAACATGTGGAAACATGTAGAAGTGAGTGCTGCACTGGGTCAAAAAAATAAATAAATATAGAAAAACCAAGTGCTTTTCAGGAACAGGGGACAGCAGTCGAATAGCTAATAAAAAAAGTTTGACTGTCCTGATTAAAAGATCAAGTGTTCTGTGTCCCAAGTCCCCAGAAATATATCTATAAAACACTGATATGTCCCAGTTTTTACCGACCAAAACAATACACTGAGCTGATTTGTTGGTATATATGTCAATCAAAGTCGTTGCCAAGGCTCATTTCAGGTAAATTTACATGCAGTGTGAAGATACGAGCATGATAAAGATCGCTAGCATTAGCATGCTAACACAACAATGCAGCACAAGTTGTTTTGGTTTCATGCTGGTGCTCAAGGGCGACATCTGCTGGATCAAAACATCACATATAAAGCCTTTAAAAGACAAAAAATAATTTAAAACTGTTAATTATCTTTTTTTTTTAAATCTTTTCACGTGTTAAGTTTGCTGGTCTTTTATTTTAAATTGCTCCATGTCATCTTCCACATTCTCATCCCAACATTTCTTTTTTTCAGCTGTTCTTTCTTACGAAGGAGAAAAAGCCCAAAAAATAACTTTGAAGAAAAGTCTGTTATCGATCATCTGTCCCGAGCGTCATGCCCGTGGATTTGTGACAGAGGCAGCGTCGCCTGTAGCCTGAACATTTTGACATACAGGGGGCATACAGACTCTGCATGCTCATTGGTCAGGCTGCTGATGGTGATGTCAGACAGACTTTTATTGTAGATTGACCATGAAAACAGGAAAAATGGGTGTTTTGGTTTGCATCAAAGAACAAAAAAGTGGGTCACAGGTCATTTGACAAACATACCATCTCTTGTCATGTGACTAATATTTATGTAGCTGACAATAGTCCCTTCATAATTTATGCAGGGTCTGTTTGATGCAATCAAATGTCTTGTTTTGTTTATCAAAAGATGCAGAAGCTTAAACCAATCAGGTATGAAATGATTCCAAAAAGACGACAAGCTTCTTAATTAAGAGGCCGAAACCTGAATTTCTTTTGTTTTGTTTTAGGCTTAGAAAATGACAAATTACGGGGCTATGGTTCATTCATCGAGTCATTTATTGGAACATTTTGAAACCAAACAAATAACAATGACAGAATGATTTATGTTAAAATCGCTTCCACCCTCGGCCATCTCCCGCACGTCATCGCACGCTCTCTCATCCCCGATTCAGACTCCACTGGTCTGTGCTCTCAATACAGGCATGAAAAAAAGAGACATCTATGAGAGACATGTATCTGTAACTTCAAATGCATCTCCTGCAACTTTTGCATTCTGTAGTTAATCAGAGAAATCATCCACAGGTCGGGCTCTGAAAACGAAATGTGTGCTGCAGCCTTAGAGAACAATACAGTGACAGCAGGCATCCGTTTGAAACCTCTGAACACGGGGCATACACATTTAAACATCTTTAATGATGCAAACATGCTCTCTTGGCTGCTGTTTGTAACACTGAAGTGTTTTTGTATGTCACAGCTGCAAACACATCTGAGAGGGCTGCTGCAGATCGCTGCACGCCGTTTGAAGGAAACACATCAATCATTCAGTGTTTTCATATGAAACATACCTCTCCATCGTCCCATTTCTTTATTTTTTAACATGTTGTTTTTATGGGCTTCATGTGCATGTCATCTGAATGCAAATTCTGCAGAATTCATGATAGAAAAAAAAGATTGTGATTTATAATGCAATCAGTCCTAGCTGTTTAATATTAAAGGTCCAATCTGTAAGATGTGTAGTGAGTGAAATGATAAAGTGAGCTTACTATCTGATCATTAAAGAAACATGCTATGTTGAAGTGCTGGCTTCTCTGACAACAATGCAGCAGCCAGTATGTCCTCCTTCTAACTTTAGATTCTGCTCCTGAATGCTCTGGATTTGTTTGGACCAGAGAAGGTAGGCACTTTAAAGGCGACCCCCACACGGCCGTTTTGGACGCCCCTCAGTTTACCAGATATGAGAGCAGTTATCAGGTCAACAGGTGTTGCAGTGATGGAAGCGGGCAAGAGAAGTGGTTCAGATAGAAGTGATTGTACCCGACCTAAAAAGCCTCTGCATGTTTCTAATAAGCTCCACGAGCAGAAACGTGCTCAAACTAGGATCAATATTGGAGATGCTTTTGAAAAATGGAGAGAGGTTAGAACACAGAAAGGTTTACAGACCCATGCAGAGCTGGATAAACACTGAAGCTTCAGAGTCCACCACATGGTGACCTGAGTGAGCATAGAATTTAGAGAGGGGGGGAGAGAGAGAGACAGCTCTCTACTAATGTTTAGAATTTTGACTGCAGTACCCATTTTAAACACTAGGGGCCAGAGTTACATACTGCTCCTTTAAAATAAAAAGATAAACACAGCTTGGTAAGTAAAAACAGATACAATAGAACATGTCCAATCATCAAGGAGTAAGCATTGCTAATTAATAATATCATTACGTCTAGAAGTGAATCAGTGGATTGGTTCCTTTCGCCCTGCGGCAGCCGTTTTTCTCTCAAGGTGATTTGAAAGTCAGAGCCGAGCCGGTGAGTCTGAGGTGCAGAGGGGATGCAGGCGAAGCGACGACACAGCCAGGTTCACAGAATGTCAAGTGCAGAGGGATGATCCTGATGCACGACAAACTGAATGAACCAAAATTTTTGGGCCCCTCTCACCGAGAAGGTCAGCGGATAAAAGAGCACGGGGGATGAGATATTGTTCTACAGCGGCAATCGGGACGGTGGCTGGATGATATTTAGGCGCTTGCTGGTGACTGTAGGATTGGATTTAAGAGGATGCTGTGTCAGAAGGAGAGAGAGAATCAGATGAGTCACACACAAACAAGCTCCGGGCTTTCTTCCATACAAAATCCTGTCTATTACACACCAAAAAAAAAACCTGCTGAACGCCTGCTGAGTCATGAAGTACTTGTCCTCATATCAGAACAACCAGTGCCTTGCCTATTTATTCAGTGTTCTTGGAGAAGTTTGCTCTTTTCCCGGGGTTGCTCGAGGTGGAGGTCTGCTCTGCTTGCTTGTCTTTTTGAAGCATTTCTTGATACGATGATTTGAATAATTTGACAGGAAAAGTGCTCACAGACTTGAAGAGAGGAAATACAAAATGGGTTAAATTACTCAATTTCATCAGTTATACGGAGTCATGTGGAGAAAAACAACCTAAAAACCAGTATCACTACTATAATCACTGCTGTAAGATAAAGCGGGATAACTTGATCTGACAGGAGCCTTTTCTCCCTGTGCATGTGTGGGTTCTGTCCAGCTTCCTCCCACAGTCCAAAGACATGCTCGTTAGGTTAACTGGTGACTCTAAGTTGCTCGTAGGTGTGAATTTGAGTGTGGCAGGTTGTCCGTCTCTATATGTCAGCCCTGTGATTGACTGGCGACCAGTCCAGAGTGTAACCCCGCCTCCTGCCTCTCGCCCCAACAACCCAAACAAAAAGAAAAGCGGTATAGATAAAAGATGGATGGATGGTAAGGCAAGGCAAGTTTATTTATGTTGCGCATTTCAACAACAAGGCAATTCAAAGTGCTTCACACAAGACATCAAAAAGCATCATGACAGAGGAAAGATAAGAAACATTAAAAAAGAACATCCCTGAAATTATTAAATCTGAAAATATGTTCAAATAAAAAAATTCAAATTAAATTAATTGAAATAAATAAAGTAAAAATATAAAAAGAGTTAAAAGTTACAGTGCAGAGTTAAAATTTAAAATCTTATTAAAATTGTTTAATGAAAATATGTAGTGAAACGTATTGATGCATCAAAGATTTTGTCAGTATTACATCATTAACATATTCATACTTACATCACCTAAACAGCCTTTTTAGAGCTGAGAAACATCGCCCGCCTCCGCCCATCCCTCTCCTGCTCAGCTGCACACATTCATCACTTCCAGACTAGACTTCTGCAACAGTCTCCTCTACGGATCATCATCCAAAACACTAAAGAAACTCCAACACATGACCTCCACTAGCTCCTCATCCCCCAGCGTATCCACTTCATCATCACCTCAAAAGCCCTCCATAAACTGGCTCCTCCCCCTCATACCTGTCTGAGCTCCTCCCCCAGCACGCTCTCACCCTGACACAAACCTCCTGTCCTCCCCCCCCCCACTGCAGGACAAACCATTGGTCCTGAGGGGCAGGGCCTTCACCATTGCTGCTCCCACCCTCTGGAACTCACTCCCAAAAAAACCATCAGAGACCCCCCCCCCCACCACTCACTTTCTTCAAGCAATCCCTAAAAACTCACCTCATCAACATCGCCTACAACAACAAATCATCTCAACTCTCATCCTCCTTCTCTTACATTATTTCTTTATTGATTTGTTTTGTTGTTATTCTTTGAGAAGAGTCTTTGAGTATTTAGAATATGCATTATTATAATTACTTTATTATTTTCACGATATGGACTGTTTCATGAGAATACCTGACAGTTTTGAAAAGGTACGCTCCCTCCCAGTACGTTCTTCGGGCGACTCTAAAAAAACAACATTTGCATTTCAGTCAGAGGCTGGAGAGTGAAGCTGCAGATGATTCTCACAGTGTGAGGACGGTTCATTGACTCTCGGATAAGCTGTCACAGAAAAGCACCATTTTAAACTAATGATACCTTGTTGCTGTCTGCACTACGAGCACCACTCTGACAGGAGTTCACTACTAATGGGGGTTTTCTGTTGACTATGTTTGTTTCAAAATCAGTTCTCACGTTCATGAATGTTGATTTTTATATCTGCACCTGTACAAACCTGTACAAAAATTGTTCCAGGCTGGGGGTGGAGTCCATGGGTGGAGATACCAGAGGAGGGGAGGGGATTTATTTTTAACCAGAATCCCACTGTGACATCACAAAGAGAGCACGTTTGAAACAGAGCATTTGTCTCTGTGTTGTAAGACTTATGCAGACCACAAATAAAGGACTGGATGGGTTTATTTCACATTTTGTGGGTCAGTAGACTCTCAGGTTACCCAAATATATGTTCACACTTGTTCACACAAGTGGATTTTGTCCCCTTTAAAGGATTTCTTATATCAGTATGAGATGAATTTCAAACATAAAAAAAATGCTTGGGAAATTCCCATTCCTCTCTGAATTGATGCTTGGTTTCATCTTATGTTTTTCAACATTATAAAATGAGCCTCGTTTCAGGTGTTCCTCTCCAAAAGTCATGCCTATTTGTAACACAGCAAGTACCTGTTGGGTTTCTGGACCTCCTGGCGAGACGATGACTATAACACAAGTGAGTTTCGGTAGCCGCTGAGGTCCAGGAGGTGACCCTGTGCTGTTGTGTCCCCAGAGCAGCGGGAGGTGGAGCAGGAGGAGGGCAGCGAGGGCCGAGAGGAGGGACAGGACTCGCCCATCGCCTGCGGAGATGACATCCACCTCTATGACAACCAGATCAGCCCCGGGCCAGGTCAGTACACAGAAGAGACAAGGAGAGAGAGAGAGAGAAAAACAGAGATACACAGAGGACAGTAGATGAGGAGGGGGGTGTAGAGCTGGATAAAAAGAGAGAGAGAGAGAGGAAGAAAGAACGAGGCAGAGGAGGAGAGACGGGGAAACGGAAACATGAAGGAGGAACGCTTGAGAAGTGATAGAAAGAGAAGTGAGACGGCAGGACAGATGGGAGAAGGAATATATTTGTTATAATATTTTTTTCTGTATTGGAAAAATATTCTGTTTAATCTGTGATTTTCTGCATTTAAGCACCTTCTTGTGATTCATCTTGCAATATTTGTGACTAATAAGAAGCATAAAAATTTACAATCAGACATAAAACACAAAGTTCACAGTCACTCTTGATGGCTCCTTTCCCACATTTCTTTCCCCTCTCTCTCTCTCTCTCTCTCTCTCTCTCTCTCTCTCTCTCTCTCTCTCTCTCTCTCTCTCTCTCTGGTTTCCGGCTCTATCCACTGTCCTGTCTCTCAAACAAAGGCACAAAAAGCCAAAAAATAAATCTTTAAAAATCTCCTCTGCTGTTCAAATTTCGGGATCAATATCAGTTTTTTCTTCTTCATTTACTTTTTTGAAGTATTTGATATCAAAGCATGAGGCACATTCTCAAAGGCAGAGCGTATCTAAGTCATGGCGGTTCTCCAAAAAGAAAAAGAAAATCCTCAAAACGGCTTTAAGCTAATTTCCATGGTGGTGGTCTGCGGCAGTCTGGGTCCATCCACAGTCCAATGGCAGGTGTTGACTTGACAGACGGCTCGTCAGCTGCAGGTGGCAGATGATTTTGACCCCATCACCAGAAACCCCACCAGTCAACAGGTGACCGTTGCTACAGCAACAGTCACAGGTGCAACCACCAGGGAGAGTCAGTAGGAGAGAGAGAGGGAGATGTGACAGGTGACCATGTCACTGAGTCTGATTCTCCATACATAGTAACACTTAAGGCGTCTGACAGGAGCGCCGCGGTGATGTAAGCTGCACGGGAACAAGTTAGAGGAGTAAAAAAACAACGATGAGAAACTGTCTCTGAAGTTAAATTGATTCATGTCAGCTTTGAAATATGAACATAAAATACCAGAGAGGAGAAGCATAGTTTAAACTGTGAGAATTTAAATATCGCACCTTTAAAGGTCCAATCTGTATGTTTAGATTCTGGTCCTGAATGGTCTGGATTTGTTTGGACCAGAGAAGGTAGGCGGATTTAAGGCAACCCCACACGGCCGTTTTGGACGCCCCTCGGATTGCCAGTTGGTCAAACCAACAGGTGTTGCAGCGATGGAAGCGGGCAAGAGTAGTAACTGAGATGTTAGAACGCAGAAAGTCTTCAAGACCGATGCAGAGCTGGCTAAACACTGAAGCTTCAGTGTCCGCGACATCACAAAGGGCAGTAGCCCCTCCCCCAGGTGGGTGACACTCCCACAGCTAGGTGTTTGTTCTGCCCTCTGAGTCTGCCTTCTCACCGTAAACAATAGGACATGGAGCGAGAAAGCACAGAGTACACCCAAGCCCTTCCAGAGAGGGGGCGTGGTCAGACACAGCTCATTTACTTACTTAAAGGTACAGACACAGAAACAGCCTGTTCTGAGCAGGGCTGAAATAGGTGTATTTGACATGATCAAATACAGGATCAGAGTGGATATAGAACAAGAAACTTTTGGGGAGCTCTGAGACTTATTTAAACTGGTTGAAAAGAAGTATAGTATATGACCTTTAATTTGGATTGCAGGAGTTACGGTTAGAAACTAGATCACAATTCCCTATCATGTTTTCCATTTAGGATTTCAGGAGCAATTAAGGGTTTACAAATAGTTTTGTTTATGGCTGACTTTCATTGACATTTTTATGCAATGCTGCAAACATTATGCACCTAAAAAAAATATTTAAAGTGTTTCCACTAAAACAGCAACTCATCAGAATTTCCAATGGTGAAAAAATTAAATATAAGCTCATTATCACTTACCTCTAATCATAAACCATTAAACAAACCTGTGGCGCTGGTCCAGTGTTTTACCCACACTCCTCTCCCTCTGCACAGCTGCAAAAATTTTGAATTCTCACCGCCATCATCAGGCAAAATTGTCACCCACAGGTGCAGAATGTTTGTCATGCCCGCCAGTGTCTTCTCAAAAAAATATTCAGTGCATTATTCATCGAGAGCTCGGCTGAATGTCGATTAGAGTGTTTTGTTTTTATTCCTGCTTCCCCCTGAAAATTTCTGTCTGCCACATAAATTTAATCCCAGTGTAGCGGGCTGTTTGCATGCCTGTTACCGCTTTTAATTCATGTCACAAATCATCATGTGATTTATTATGACCACATCGGCGGGTCACTGTAGAATATGTGCACCGTGTCAAATCAGTGTAACACTTACATCTTGTCCGCTTACATAAGCAGCTGTTTGTAAAAACACATTGTGTAGTGATGATATGAAATACAGAGACAGGAGCGCCGACTTCAGTCTCATTTTAAAAGATCTGTCTGTTATAACTCGTTTATTTCCAAATACTCAACAGTTGTTACTTGAAATGAATACTTTAGTCTTCAATCTTGACCTTTAGGATATTGTGCACATTGAATATTTAACTGTACTGTAATTAAAGGTCACATCTCCTCCTCCTCTTCAACCAGTTTAAATAAGTCTCAAAGCTCCCCAAAACATGTGTGTGAAGTTTCTTGTTCTAAATCCACTCTGATCCTGTATTTGATCATGCCTATAAACTCCTCTATTTCAGCCCTGCTCAGAACAGGCTCTTTCTGTGTCTATACCTTTAAATATGTAAATGAGTGTCTGACCACGCCCCCTCTCTGGAAGGGCTTGAGTGTACTTGGTGCTTTGTCGCTCCATGTCCTATTGTTTAAGGTGAGAAGGCAGACTCAGAGGGCAGAACAAACACCTAGCGGTGGGAGTGTCACCCACCTGGGGGAGGGGCTACTGCCCTTTGTGATGTCATGAAGGGAAAATCTCCAAACGGCTGTTTGAGCACAAATTTTTGTGAAAAGTGGAGCAGGCAAAAGACGGAGAGGATGGACTTTTCTCATAATTGGGGGGTTTGTAGACGGACTATAGACACATATTAGTATTAGAAAAACATGGTGAAGAGTATTTTGAATAATAGTTGCCCTTTAAAAGATTTTTTGAAATGACTTCCAACATTTAGTTATTCAAACAACTTTTTTTTAATTCAACATCCTTTTTTGAGCTCAGCCTCCAGTATCTCAGTCGTCTTATTTTAATCACAGTGCCGTTCATTTTCTAGAGGAGGAACGGGATTCATCTTTGAAGGACTGAATAATTCTTTCTTGTGTGCTCATCTGCCTGACTTTGTGCAGATAAAGAAGATATTTCTACTCATCAAGACATCATTTCTTTTTTGAAGTCAGTGTTAAAAATATTTAAAAATTTTTTAAATCCTGACATAAAATAGTAAATGACTGAATGATGCTTGGCTAGCCCTGAATATGGGGGAAAGACACTTTAATAACATAACTTCTGCTAAAAAAACATTGTGTCAGATCATTTATAACATAATGGGGATGAAAGTGGGCATTGTATTATTTTATTCTCTCTGCATGATCCCTTTTTGGATATTGAAAGATGACGCTCTTTCTGCAGAGATACCGGAGGTCTCTGAGAACTGAACGTCCTCAATGAGCCGAGGTTCAGAACAGTACATTCTTCTAGTCTGCCTATCGGTCAAAGCACAAAGTGATTGATGAGATATTTGAGTGCTGAGGATTAGAATTTGAAGAGCTTACAAAAAAAAAACAATCTTGTCTGCTGGTAAAACAGTCATGTTTGTTGTATTTATGGTTTTGTCATGATCTTATCCATTATTCTCTCCTCTGAAGACTTTGTCATAAGGCTGTCAAACGCTCCCCCAGAAATAGAATTGATTTCATGATTATACGTCTGCCAGTGCCGGGCTCAGTTCCATTTTAGTTCAATCAAATTTGGCTGAATACTGAAGAGGGAAAAGTCACGAGGAAGGACAGGCGTCTGTCACACTGGCAACTTGAGGATTTGGGCTTTGACCAAGGTCATTCCTTGACCTTTTCAATCCTGCGTTGAGTTTATGAAGAAACAAAACTCTGAGCGTACAGAGCTCTAAGATGGCCTGCAGAGGAGTCTCTAACAGATTGTTTGAACTCAGATCAAGGATAAGCAATGTGGATCTCGTCTTGGTAACAGAACAGTTATGGGAGTTTGTCCTTCCAGTTGACCAAGTGGTTTTTGGACTTGGAGACCGCTCATGACTGTCCCAGTGATCGCCCTATGGGAGTAACTTCTAGATCAGTGGTTCCCAACCTGGGGCCCGATTAGAAGGGACGCCAAACATCTCAGGTGGGACAATTAGGCTTTGTCTGCTCTGAGGTTGTCAAAATGACATTTGAATTGATTAACTAAAATCATAATAACACATGTACTGGATCTTTATAGGATCAAGTATGTCTCATCCTGTTCTGTTGTGACTTGACCAATGAAATTTTGGGACGTTTTTCACATTGCGGAAATCTTCTGGCCCATTTTTATCAGATTTACAGATCTGAAAAATGCATCCCAATAAATGCAGCGCGCAAAGGCCTTTAGTTTGGAAGATGGATTTCTTTTTTTCTTTTTTCTTTTTTCTTAGGTGCAATAGAGTGACAAACTGGTGACATATACATAACAAATGAGGCACAAAAAAACAAACAGACAAGGTCAGGACAACAACTCCAAAATACAGTAAAAAATAAATAAAATAAAGACAGCAAAATACTAAGACATCATTAGACACACATCAGACTACAAAGATGGATTTCAAATGTAGCATAAATATTCTGACAGTGAGAAATGTACGAGTCTGTGATCATGATACCAATTAAAATTACACTAACAAAACATTTATTTGTAATAAAATACAAATTAAAAAATGAATTGAATCCTACTGTAGTCCAAAGTAGACGTCCAGCCCAAGGACACAATGACCTGTTTGATTAAAAAGTCACTCCCATCATACTCTCATTCTTAGTAGTGGAAACGTCTGAACCTGTTGTATTTTGAAAGCAATTAAAGCCAATACTCGACCAAGCCGGTATTTATTTTATAAAAAATGCATCCAGTGTCACTCAGCCAAAAGACACTTGAGCCTGTTAGTATACCTGACCTCTCCCATCACACTCCATCATTCGACCATCATCAGCCTCTGACCTGCACATAACAGAGCACTCGTAACACTTGTGGCTGACCGAATGAAATCAACAGTTGCAGAGCTCCAATGATCAAACGGGGAATCAAGTACTGAAACAAGCCCATGTCACATTATAGCACTTCCTCCTTCCTAATCCCTAAACCCTGAAATTGTGCAGGATTACTCGGAACCAAACAGTATAATGAGACATACAGAAGCCATTAAAAGGAGGTGATCATTGGGGACGAGGTAATCTTATATGAATATATGAAAATCTCCTTACGGCTGCAGCCCTGACAGCAATTAGAGCCGCGGCTCCCTCTCCCCTCTGGGAGCGGATAAGCCCAGCCGTGTGCTTTTTTGATTGTGAGGCTTTGATGAACCAAATCCAGTGCACACGACACGTGCCCCCCCCCCCCCGCCATCGTCTCATCATAGAGGTAGGGGCTGGGGCGCTCTTTTTCTTCCTCCACTGCCTGCAGGCTTTTATTATGCCAAGGTGCTCGGTGCGGCGATCAAAGCCTCCACTTTCCAGCAGACTCACATTTACTTGTGGCTGGATTATTGATATTATGAAATCCTGGCGTTTTCCTGAGTCTTATTGGCTTGTTAGAGGGAGGGGGGGGGTTTCTTGCTTTTCCGTCGCTGGAGGGAGGAGTTTAAGCTCTGATTGATTTCCAGACGGAGCCGACATAGTGCATCACGCGGAGCAGAGGAGGAAAGCCCATGGTAACCTAATAACGTCCTCCCCGCAGTAAACGGCGATAACTGTGTTATGCAACACGGTGGCGGACTGTTTTATGAGAGTCAGCAGGGTACTGCAAGTCTGCTAGTTTAAAGACTGGAGTGCGTTGAAAACCCCATTCCCCCTGTATTGTTTCCAAGCATGAAAGGTTTTTCCCTTCTTTCTTTCTTTTTTTTGCAGCAGCAGCATTGGGAAAATCCAGACCTTTGTACTTTATCTGGGCGCTCGGCTCAGCTCCACAGACGTGTGTATTAAAACCTTATCAGCAGAGAAGTTTCAATCCCCGTTCAATGAGGCGTTTAGAGACTTGCCTCTTGACATTTTCAACACTGTTAGAAAAAAGGCTCTCAGGCTTCTTTTCTTCACCAACCGAGTGGTTGTATTCTTGTGATCTTTTATTTCAGAATTTGAACCGTCGGTAATGAATGTTCTGTTGCTTTTAAATGTAAATTCAGAACACTGTAATTACCACGTCACTACAGATTTGCATGTAAACGCTGAGCAGTTCAACTTCTAATATTCAGATTCGACTAAAGTAAATGCAGTTTTACATCAGGCCGTGACATAAAACGAGGCCGTAAAATAGTCCTCTCGTTTTCTTCTCCACTCCAAATCTGGACCATCATCCCTCTAATAACATGTGGTGACATCATTCATTAAGAACAAAAATGTACAAGTTCAGTCATTTTGTTTACTGGAGTGGCAATATTGCATTTTGGTTGCCATAGCGATATATTTTTTGGTCGAGATGATCTGGAGTAAACATTATACTTCTTCTGTAGCCTCTTTTCAGACTGCCTTTTATTGCAAAAGTTCTGTTAACTAAGCTCAGGTGTCATCACGTCTTGGTATTTCATATTGATTTTGTGATGGTGTGATGTTGGTGTCACAGTCTGAAAGTTCACATTGCGTTTCGCCGTTTTAGAAGCACGGCACAGTGGGAGCTCCACATAGACACACAAGCGCTATTCAGTTTTTCAGGTTTTTTGTTAAGTAACTCACCTTTCCCTGATTATTTTTACAAAGTTGTGATTGAGCTTTAGACCCACTGATGAAATTTTTAAAAGACTTTGAAAATTCAGTGGAACAACAAACTGAGTGAGAAGTCGCCATGCCAAGGAGAAATCACGAGTGGTTTCCAATACCCAGCAGTGGTCGCTTGGCCAGATATAGAAGGTAGAAGTGAGATACTGTTGTCTCTGGTCCCTGTTATGTTGTTAGTCACTGGTTACTTTGGCTGAAAAACAAAACAAGGGAATGATTGTAACTCTGGTCAAATACATTTGCAAGTCCAAAGACAAGATAGAAATTTGTGATTCAAACTGTCAAAAAAGGTCAAACATCAGCTTGGAGCTGTTTGAATGTTAGAGAGATGTTATAAAACATCCTGCAGTTATCACATATCACCATTGGTGCTGCAAATGACCACAAAATTGTGATCTTCGAGAATGTGACCTCAAACAACTATCAAAAGTTAATGATAGCTGTTGCAGGATGACAAAAAATTCCCGTGTTATATTTCACTGCTAAAAGCACACGCTTGAGATATATCAATGTGACACATGCATGTGTGAAAGGCAAGTGACAACCTATGGTGGAGAAAATTGTTGCCAGTGCAGAAGTGTAAAAACCCTGCAGTTCCTCGAGTACGACTTCCTGTTCTTCTGCAGGCAGCCTCTAGTGGACACTCGACGAACTGCAAGAATTTGCACTTCCATATAGGCTTTATTTTTTACCACCAGAAGTTGCTGTGGATCAGTTGAGAACTACTGTTCTGGATGACTTAGCCACAATCTTAGCAGAAGCATTTTGAACTGCATTTTAAAGAGGCATGGCTGAGCCCGGTGATAAGAGGGTTGCAGTAGTCAAGCCGAGAGGAAACAAAAGTATGAACAATAGCTCAGCTGTGGACACAACAGGATGGACTTCCATGATGTTCCTTCAATGATAATGTTACACTTTGAATTTTCAATCCTACCTTTTCTTTTTTTTTTGTCCTTAGATGCTGACGACTCTGGTTGTGTTTTATTGAATACATCAAGAAAGGTAAGCATCAGAATCTTTGGTAAAATGTTCACTCTGATCCTGTATTTGATCATGTCTATAAACCCCTCTATTTCAGCCCTGCTCAGAACAGGCTGTTTCTGTGTCTGTACCTTTAAATATGTAAATGAACTGTGTCTGACCACGCCCCCTCTCTGGAAGGACTTTGGTGTCTCGGGGCTTTCTCGCTCCATGTCCTATTGTTTACGATGAGAAGGCAGACTCAGAGGGCAGAACAAACACCTAGCCGTGGGAGTGTCACCCACCTGGGGGAGGGGCTACTGCCCTTTGTGATGTCATGAAGGGAAAATCTCCAAACGGCCTGTTTGAGCACACATTTTCTGAAAAAGTGGAGCAGGCAAAGATGGAGAGGATGGACTTTTTTCATCATTGGGGGGTTTGTGCATAGTGGATTCTGCATAATATGTGACCTTTAAAAAGAAGCTGCAAAAGAAGTTCACTCATCATTGGAAGAACTCAATAACGCACACATCACTCAGATTTACAGCTCGACTTTGGTTATACATGACTCCAAAAGTAGATCAGACAAGAAAAAGAACAATGGGTGCGACTATCTTTCATCATATTTTAACAGTGTGGGAAAGTTTGGAGGTAGAAGTGATCGGAAGGAGCAGCAAAAGAAAGATTTAGAGGAGTATTTGTGTAAATGGCGTAGTCTTCCTCGGGCCTTAGTTAAAATTAGAAACAAGCTAAGCCTCATTACATCTAGGGAGGTCCTGATTAGGATTTTACCGTTTCTACTTCTCATGTTTTCTTATAAACCGTTGACGACAGTTCTATAGTCCACATTCGGAGTACAGTGAGGTTTGCAAAACAAATCCAATATTTTTTAAGGTATACGTGACAAGTGAATAGCTCTGCTGTCAGTGTGAATGTCTTCTGTGAAACCGCTGCCTGCTGCTGCTTATCTCTTCATGCCACTTCACTGTTGGCATGTTCAAATTGTTATATGTCGGTTTGTTTGTAAAAGGTAATGACACCTATGCAGCAGGTGGTGTGACAGTGTTCTCTCTCTGTCCTCTCCTCTCTCAATCAGCTCACACAGCTCTGTTATAAAGAGGTCTGCATAGCGGAAATCAATCCGTTCTCATGTTTGTTCCCCACTGGCAGAGATTAAAGTCCTACCAGAGCAAGTTTAAAGTAAGCATCAAACTCTGACTGAAATATAATATAGCATTGATAAATTGGTATTTAAATCCTGACTAATTATCATAAGTTCTCTTTATATTTGAATAAAACATCCAAAGACAGAGAATGGAAGTTTGATGCCAGCAAACGTTTCATAGTTTAATAACTTTGGAGGAGGATATGTTGTTTCAATGTTTTCAACCAATCATAGCATGCACTACAGATGAATGAATGGTTCTCTTCGTCCACAAACTAAAAGAAAGAAATCACAGGGCAAAGGTCAGATGTCATCAGAAGACACTTTTATTTTAGTACTTACTATTTTAGTTTGTTGTTCTTTTGTTCCTGCCAACAGCTTGCCTTGTTCGTCTCACTAATCTTCCCGTTCTATATTACAGTTCTGTGTATTTGCTCTCCTTCTGTTTTTTTTTATCAGTTTCACATGGTTACATATTTACTGTGCTGCCAAGAACTGTGCTGCGGATCTGCTTGTTTGCACTCATCTATAAATAGAGTTGATCTTGATATGTTTCTTCTAAAGCTCCACGGTTGTCCCTTTTATTGATGAACAATTCAGGATATCTTTAGAATCACAATAGCCGTTTTCATGTATGCACTCCTGAAAATATTTAGATCATTTCAGACGTCACTCCCCCTCCCATTGGCTCGAGGTGAATTCTCCTGATTATATTCTGCTGCGTTCTCACATCTGCTCACTCGGACTTCCTGCAGAAAAAATACCAGAGGACTGGCAGGAGAAACTCCGGGGGAAGTCCAAATGAAAAATTTGGTTGTTTGTGTTCACGCATACAGCTCCTCCTGGAGTTTTTCAGGAGTTTTCCGCAAGTGTAAAATCCCTAAGTATCTGTTCAAGAAGATGTTTTTGAAACACTTCTTATGACTGGAAGTGGATCTAAGGGAATGCAACTTCTTCTTCACCTTTGAATCACTTGACCCAAGCTGAAAAGTCTGCAGAACCAGACCCTCAAACATGCAAATAAACAAAATAAAATCACATTTATTTATAGTATGACATACACAATGTCCCCCTCATGCGTTTGTGCTGTTGCTTGTCCTGCTGCTTTTTTTTTTCTTTTTTTTTGAAAGGAACAGCAGGGAATCCGTTCATCTTCTGAATTTCTGTCACACGATCAATGAAATCGAACAGTGGTGGGTGTCTGGGCTCTCAATCGAGCTGTGTTCATCTCTCTGTCCATTCATCCGTCTCTCAGGTGATTCTTAGAAACCACCGGTCAAATATGGACAAACTCTGAAGGGGAGACATCACTGCGCTCTTTAATGAAACGGGACATTTTGTCTCAGAGTAATGAGGGAAACCTAGCTTCAAACTTAAGGGCACTTTGACTTGTGCATTTTCAGCTAAATCCTGACACCAACTTGCAGCGTACTCCATCAAAGATAGACTTGCAGTGTATTTGAAACGGAGCAGAGCGTAATGGCGCTGATGGCACGCTCCAGAGACGGACCACGGTGCCCACTGTGGATACACAATCTTTGACTAGAGTGGCAGCGAACTAGGGCATAATGCGTGGCGCTGACGGAGTATGTGGAAATTGGGGGTTAGAGACACAGCTAGTGGCAGACGGCTGCATTGCAGTTTGAGAATAACATCTGATCGACATTGAGGCCAAATTATAAAACAGACCAGTTATTCTTTTACTATTCAGTTCAACTATTTAGTCAACTAAAAGCGCACGTCCCTTATTGCTAATGCTGCACGATGTTTAGTAGTAGTAGTATACATCAAATACAATACAACCAACATGTTAACAGATAAACCCAAACCAATGCTAACCATATACCAATGACATGATGGTATAATTGCTTTCTTTCAATACTGCTGGTTGCATTTAGGTGTTATCATTATGTTCCTTTTTTACCTGCTGGACTTTTTGAAGAAACCTTAAGTCTTGAACTTTCATTTGTTGAATTTCGTAGCCGGTTGCAGACCCCTAAATCTGTGCCTTCATCTTCCAAGTTTTCCAACGAGTCACATTAGTCAGGTGCTGTGCCAGTTGAAGAGTGTTTCTACGGTTTGGAGAAACTGTGTTTTCAATCACAGTTTGATTGGGAGTATTGACGTCTTCCTGCAGAGCTGGCACCGCTGCTGCATCAATGAAAAATACAGAAGGAAAATATTGTCACAACAAAAGCAACAAAGGACTCAGAGACAAGTTGTAAATTGACTTGAACCGGCCAAAGCACATTTGATTACATGTACAGTATTTCTTAAATCTTGTACCATTTAATAGATTCAGAATTAAACTTTCTAAAAAGAGTATGATGCTATGGGTTCCATTCTGCAGTAAGGTTTATATGTTTTCACAATGTGTTCTAGCCTTTAAAATGGCACTGATTGGCATGATAAGCTTAAAAAAAAGACCAGCAAGAAATATTTCAGATTTTAAAAGAATCCATTTTTTCCACAGTATGTGAAGCTGATGAACTTTGAGGAGGAAGTTCGGGCTCACAGGGATCTGGACGGCTTTCTGGCGAGAGCCAGTATCCTGCTGGATGAGACGGCTGCCTCTCTGGACGACGTTCTGAAGAGAATGCTGCACCATGTGGGCCAGGACAGCCATGTCTCCGAACCCAGCTGCAACTTCGAGGAGGTGATGAGCTTGCTTTTCACCGATGCCGGAGCTCAGGAGGTCAACGGTAAGCAGAAAAGCTGTCGACATGTGTGTACAAAACCAGGAACATGTAAGAAATACAGACCGAGACACTGAAAAACACATACATACAAGAGTACCCGCTCCACCTGCGCCTGCACACAATCAGATAAAAAGCCCGAGAACACATGACACCTGACCTGAAAACATCTGACGTCTGCACATGTCAACACCTACCTGAAAAATAGCTTCACCGCAGGCTCAGGAGCAGAAATGTCAGATTGGCTCGAGAATGATTCAAGAAGCTTTTTAGACCCAAAGGAAAGTTTGTGATGTCTGAATCGAGGTTGTCTGTTGAGCCCACGGCTTTTTTTTGTTGCTGGACACAAATAGAGCTCAGTGTGCTGGATCGTGTTTGCAACCCTGTGCACACATCAAACGTCTCCCAGGAAACAGTCAAGTGGCTATCCTATACATGAATTCACAACAATAAGACACATCTATTTTATACACCAAGGCCTTTGAAAACACAAACCAAAAAATCTATGTCACTTAAACTCATGGCCAAGCAATAGTTTAATATTTTTTGGATAATTTCCTCTGCCTTGAAGGTTATGTTTTCAGTGTCCTTTGCTTCCCGTCTTGAGGATAATAGAAAAACTACTGGCCTGATTTTCATGAAATTTGGTGGAAGCATGTAGCATGGGCAAAGAATGAGTGCATTTAGATTTTGGAGCGAATCTCTATTCGACTCATGAATGCACAGAGTGGTTTGGTTAGTGATTTGAATATCATAGAAGACTGGACTATCCACCTTTCTGAAAGTCAGGGTTTTAACCTTGTTCTAATTATCAATGCTTATTATTCTTATTTCTAATTCAGGGGATTAGGGTTTAATTTCAGAATGTAAAATCAATGAATTTGAATGTAGAACTGTTTTGAAAGCTTTACCAGTATCTGTATTGATCTCTGAATCAGCCCAAAGGTTAATTTCAAGTGCTCAAGAGGTCAATGCGTCACTCACACACTATATTCTCCCCCAAATAAACAGATTTTTTCATCTTGTGGAGAATGTACTTTATGTCAGCAATCAGTATTTTCCCTCCAAATATATTCAGAGGAATACTTTGTACCTGCTAATATTCCAGTCTAGGTATTAAAACCGGATCTTGGTTGTTAAGATATCATACAGCAGTGGTTTAATACTGCACACCTGACACATGCGATGGCTCCCCCAGGTTTTCTGCCCATAGGTCGGCTTACAGATCCCTGTCACATGAGTTGAGTCTCTTCAGCACAGGTCCTTTTGGCTGAGTAGCAAAGCCTCTTGGTTAAGGACAATCTCCTCAGCCCACTAGAGCAGGATAAATCTGCCCCCCTTACATAACAGTATGAAGCCATTGTTCAAGCCTCACTGTGTTCTGGAAGCTGCACTGAACATTGTTACGCCCCACCATGAGGCGGCCCTGTGGGGCTATCAACCACCCACTAATTGACCCAACAAATGACAGAAAACACTTTTTTTTTTTGGCCGTTTGGGGCTTTTTTGGAAAGACCTTTGATGGAGTCTGAAATCAGGGAGGAAGAGAGTGAGGAATGCCATGTGAGAAATGAGCCACAGGTTGGACTCGAACCCAGGCCGCCAGCTATGAGGACTACGGCTTCTGTACATGGTGCGCACAGAACAACCTCTAAACCACCGGAACCCAACAATAAACACCTTAACAACCAGAATCAAACCAAGGGTAAACTAGATCATTCAAACTAATTCAACAAAACCCCAAAAACCTCCACAATCCCTGAATGAGGTCGCACTCACATTAGGCCAAGTTTTCCCGTACTGCGCTTAAGTTGGATTGCCCGCCCTTCCCATTCCCCCGCTGTCCTGCACTCACACTGCTCCAGGTCTAACCAGGCCCAAGTACGGCTTCCCTCTTGTACATAACGTCGTAATACAACACAAGCATGGCTTTATGTTATCAAGAAGTGTGATACAATACAGACGGACTCTTTACATCTAAAATTTAAAATAAAAGGGACTCGTGGTCAAGTCTGCGTTCCCACATCACAGAAGTTCACAGAGAAAACGACAGCTACTTTACTGACTTTATGGCCTTTACAAACAAACTGGACTTTGTGGGTGAAGCGTGCTAAGGCACAGTACGGATTGCCTGGTGTGAGTCCGCCTTTAGAGGCACAGCAGTCCCACCTCTAAAAGCCTTTCTCCTCATGAACTCAGCGCTGGGCTTTTAAGCACTGAGGCCAGGTGCACCTCATTGTGTAATCAGTCGCTTCACCTGGGCAGATCTGGAGACAACAGAAGGGGACAAGGGGACAAACAGCAGAGGGGAAACAAACAGGCTTAACAACATTGATTCACAACTCTAATTATTTAGCAAATCAAAGAGTTCGGGACATATTGTATTTTCAGGATTAACCGACGCTTTGCAGATGTTGGGAAAACCTGTTTTGTTTCCATGTTAACAACATGTGGAGGTAATGGTAGTATAAGCGCTGCCTGTCCGTCTCGAGTGTTATCCTGTCCGTCTGGGGCTGATGTCCGCAGTTGTTGGTGGTTAGTCAGAGGTGGGTGGTGTGTGACGCTCACCCTGCACAGCCGCCTCTGACAGATCCGCGAGGTGATAATTGACTTCTGTCATCGATCACCCACTTAGCTTTTCAAATGGCTCTCAGAGACTCTCGAGCTGTGGTGGCTGCTGCTACTTGACTGTTTCTCTCCCAGCATACAGGACAAAGAAGCGGATGAAGAGAGGTTATTTTAATCTTGTCTTAGAGGCTGCCATCTTAACAGAAAGGCTTCCTGCACAGGTCTGAGCTGTCTGGAAATGGTTTGAAAATCAATTTGACCTCTCAGGGGTTTCACTTGGTTTTGAAACTGTATAAAGCAACATCAACCAAAAAAAAAAAACATTTTAAAAGGTATGGGTCCTAAAAAATAAAAGTTTAGCCATTATTATTCTTATTTAATGGAACTTTAGCTCCATGCAGTCAAACGGGAATAGTTCCATTTAGTTACATCTGAAGAGTTACCTAAATTAAAATCTTTCAAGGACCAATCTGTAAGATATCTTCTGAGTGGAATAATAAAGTGAGCTTACTCTCTGATCAGACATTAAGGAAACATGCTATGTTGAAGTGCTGGCTTCTCTGACAACAATGCAGCAGCCAGTATGTCCTCCTTCTAACTTTAGATTCTGCTCCTGAATGCTCTGGATTTGTTTGGACCAGAGAAGGTAGGCAGACACAGCCGTTTTGGACGCCCCTCGGTTTGTCAGATATGAGAGAGTTATCAGGTCAACAGGTGTTGCAGCGATGGAAGCAGTTAAGAGAAGTGGTTCAGATAGAAGTGATTGTACCCGACCTAAAAAGCCTCTGCATGTTTCTAATAAGCTCCACGAGCAGAAACGTGTTCAAACTAGGATCAATATTGGAGATGCTTTTGAAAAATGGAGAGAGGTTAGAACACAGAAAGGAACACAGACCCATGCAGAGCTGGATAAACACTGAATACGAGCATTCATCAACGCTGTCAAGGTCGACTGTTCATCCTCTTCAAGGTCATCTATCAACCAAAGATTCAGCTGCAGTATCTAGCTAGGAATGTTTTTGGTGATGTGCAAAATGAAGTTTTGAATTAGTGGAGAAGTGAGCGTTCACTCTGGGGAAAGGCATTAGTTACAGCAGAAGAAACAGGATAATAGTGGATGGAAATTGGGTTATAATGAATTGCACAGCGGATGATGTAAGAAGTCCTAAATTATTATGCAATAAATAAATAAATAAAGAATTACAGTATGAAGCATGCACATGAGCAGAACGACTGTCATTTAGCTGTTGAATAAAGAGATTTAACTTGAAATATTCATTTAGGGCATTTTCACATTAGGCACTAATTCTCCCCCCTCCCTCGCTGGTCTGCGTTCACATTAGTTACATAGTGAGTACACATACTTGGTTTGCAAATCCAACAAAAAGCAGAAAGTAGAAGAAGTGGCAACCATGGCAACCACTCGCAGACCCAGAGTCCATCCTGCTAACTGTAGATGTTTTTGTTATTTCTAAGACGGCATCAACAACCCTCTTACTACTTCCACATCTACTGTGCAGCTCAGAGGACGAAATGCTGCATGAATACGATGGTTTTTGAAACGACAGGAGCCGTTTAGCATTCCTCCATATAGCAGTTCACTTCCTTGTTTGAGAACGGATGCATTCACATCTCCCTCGGACCGAACTCAAGCCAAGCAAGCTCGGGCGCTGTACCCGAGTACGGTACGTTTGTGTTCACTCTGATCAAATGAACCGGACTTTGGGGTCAAGCGTACTCCGATCCAGGCCCGGGTCCCTACTGTGAAGCCATCCTGAATCAGTCGAAATGGTTCATTAGACAATTGAGGATGCAGTCACATTTAAAAAAAAAAAAAAAAACTTGTATTATTATAATAATTAGAACATTTGGATTAGTTTGTTAATGAGTGACAATCACTCAGAGTAAGAAACCCCGCTTTGGATGAGAGATCCCTAAATTAAAATCATGAAATGAGGCACACTAACACTCATGTGGCTGCGATGAGGAGGTGGGGGGAATATCTCCAGGAGGAGGAACAAAAGGCTCCTCTCAGGGGAATACATTCATATTGCACGTAAGTATGCTATCATCAGGACATATCTCTTCAGGTATTAATTTCTGCCGTATCTGCGTTCACGGCGGGGCGATGCTGCCGGCTGAGCGGACCCGCTCACTCGGAGTGTAAAACTGTACAGCTGCGAGATAAAGAGAACAGGGGCGAGATTATAACAGGCACAGGAAGAACAGAAAATTACAGAAATGAAAAAGGATGAAAGCCCACAGAGATAATTAGTCCTGCCGTAAGAGGACTCAGTTTTTTAAGAGGTGAACTCGGCTGGGTTTTTTTCTCTTCTCTTGGGATTTTGTGTTCGGAGCAGAGTACACTTGTTGTGCAATCGAACAGCAACGCTAATGATGCAGAGGACTCGTAAAACATCACTCCATCCTGCTCCTATGGATGAAACACGGCATGTTATCGTTAAAAAACTGCAAGTACTTAAACCGATAAATGATTACAGGACGCTGAAGATGATGACCGTGCATAAAGCCGTGATTAGCAGCGGCCGCAAAACGAGTACTTGTCAATATTTTGATTGATATATTGTGTAATTATCCTTCCTCCTCCTAACTGTCGGCAGTCACAGGTCTCTCTGTGCTCGTCTCTGCGTGACGACTGTACCGTCATTTCTCCCTAAATTGCTGTCACCTTTCATCGATCTCGCCCGCTCTCTTCTGCTCTGTCACATTTTGCATAATCCTCCTGTGCGATTCTTTAGATTTTTGAAGATAAGATATACTTTATTGTCCCCATGGGGAAATTCTCCCTGAACTCCATCCTGCTGCAGTTTACAAGCAATACAGAAAACCACCTTTTTCAAACAGTCCCGCTGTGGTGTAAATGAAACATCTGTGCTGTGCTTTGATCAAAATATACCATGAATCAAGCACCAGAGGAGGTTTGTGACCCTGTATAAACCAGCTCTCTCAGAACGCTCCGTTTTGGTGTGTGTGTCTCTTTAAATGTAATGAGCCCGCCCCCTGAGTTTTCCCCGAAGACATCACTCCTCTGTAGCGAGAATAAAAATGCCGAACCTGCGCAAAAGTTCTGCTTAGTCTGTGGGTGGAGTCTATGGGTGGAGATACCAGGAGAGGGGAGGGGAGGGGATTTTTTTTTTTTTTTTTTTACCATTATCCCACTGTGACATCACAAAGAGAGCACATTTGAAACGGAGCATTTTTCGCTGTGTTGTAAGACTTATGCAGACCACAAACAAAGGACTGGATGGATTTATTTCACATGTTGTGGGTCAGTAGACACTCAGGTTACCCAAATATATGTTCAGAAACACTGTAGAAATGGATTTTTCATAATATGTCCCCTTTAAAGAACGAAGTGGTCATATGTGTTTAAAACCATCTTTGGAAAACATTTTTTAAAGTCTGTTCAAAGTGATATCAGCATCTCAAAGCGAACTCGTTTCCAGCAACATTTCATGCAGGATGTGTTTACTGTCTGTCAGCAGGTACTGTATATATATTGTGGTTATTATTAGCTCTGTTCAACAGGGGAGGTGCTCGCTGTGTGTATTTCTGAATCACCCCTCTGTTGCCTCTCTGTTATAATAATATTTCTCTTCCAGGCCGGCGGCATGACTTTTCACTCTCTAAAAATCTCTCTGTAACATTCTGCAGCGCTGATCGGAATACTAAAGTGAAGCCATTAATTCAAGCTCTTCACCCCCAGTGAGAAAGTGGTGGCCACACATGTCATTTTTTCTCATTTTGATGTCTTCATTGACGTCTTTTGGTTTCTTTGCCGAACACATACTGTAACTGCTATCGTGGATAAAATCAAATTTTTTCTAATAGCCTGTAGACGGTGATCAAGATAAGGATCTTCTCTGTGACCAACAAAGACAACACATTGAGGGATTTTTTTTTTTTTCTGGAAAGTGATATTTAATATGCAAGAGGCAAAGGAGGGCAGGAAATGAAGCTTCTGTTCTGCCGATTTGTGTGTGTGTGTGTGTGTGTGCGTGCGTGTGCGCGTGCGTGCGTGTGTGTGTGTGGCACTACATGTGTGCGTTTTCTGATGTTCTTCTAAAATCTTAAAAAAAACAAAAATGCCCGTCTGTCGATCAAAAAAAGAAAAAAATTAACTGACTCTTGTTTCTTTTTTCTCCCCCGCTCTCTCCGCATGCAGACAAGTCTCAAAGTTTCGTTTTCTTTGATGACGGTAAGCTGTGCTAATTGGATGGAAAATGTCAGCATCAAGCCGCCACCGGGCTGCAATCAGTGCTTCGCCTCTGTACCAATCACCATCACCAGTATGCCGTTTGTGCTCCTCTCCTCCACGCTCGGGACTGGGTCGATCCTTTTGAGTCGCCAAATGATTACAGACTCCAGCGACCCCTCCCCGTGTCAACAGATATCGATGCCCCCCCTCTTCAGCAGGCCCCTCAAATTAACGCCCTCTCTTTCCATTTCCATTTCAGTTTTATTTGAGACAAAGGATTCAAATCTATTTGTTGGGGGAACATGTAAAACATTTTGTCCCAGAAATATAAATAGACCCTCTTCATTCCAGAGATTAAATATTCAGCCAAATTGTCCGACTGGTTGTATAATGGGAATTAAGCCGGCCCCCATGAGCGGCTCTTGACTTTGATACCATATCCGCGCGGGGCTTTGCTTTATTTAACATTAATATAATTTGTTTGTTTTTTTTACGCAACCTGCCTGGAAGATTAGAATTGACAACCTCTCTAGATAACAAGGTTTTCAACATTGACCCAGTCCTAGTGGCCCCTCTCATCGCCGTGTGACATCATAGTGTCTGTGTGTGCTGCATGATGATTGGCTGTGATGGATACCCTAATATACAGTTAAGTGTTTCATCTGCCGCTGCTGTACGGAGCACCTCCTGTGTTTTTAATCACCTCCTTCAAAGTGTCCTCCATCGCCCCGCGCTTTGAAGGAAACCAGTCATTTCCCTTTGTGTGTGTGTGTGTGTGTGTGTGTGTGTGTGTGTGTGTGTGTGTGTGTGTGTGTGTGTGTGTGTGTGTGTGTGTGTGTGTGTGTGTGTGTGTGTGTGTGTGTGTGTGTGTGTGTGTGTGTGTGTGTGTGTGTGTGTGTGTGTGTGTGTGTTTGTGTTTATGACTGTGTTTGATGAAGCTCTACCGGACGATCCAGACCTGCAGTTAATCTCTCAGGCAGCATCAGGAGGTTTTTATTGAGGTCACCTCTGAGTATAATTGTAAGAGTCTCCTGAAAAGGTCTCGTGCCCAATCACACACCGGGACACAGAGATCCTGAATCTTTGTGCTTTCTCTCTCTGATTTTGCATATTTATTGAGTCCTCTCTGCATCATTGTTGACCGACTGCATTAGCCGCGCATGATTCTGAAGAAATAGCGATGTATCTCCTCCCCCCCCCCACCCGGAACCACCCACCCCTCCTCTCAAACCAAACCCTGTGGATAATGCAGTCGAGGAATCCATCAGTAGATCAAAGTGGGCGATCCAGTCTTCCCTCCTTTTTATGTTTTCATCACTTTCTATTGAAGTTTGTCACATTTGATTGGCTGTGTGTGAGCATCTGTGTTGTTTTGTGTGTGTGTGTGTGTGTGTGTGTGTGTGTGTGTGTGTGTGTGTGTGTGTGTGTGTGTGTGTGTGTGTGTGTGTGTGTGTGTGTGTGTGTGTGTGTGTGTGTGTGTGTGTGTGTGTGTCCTTCTCGGTGTTTGCATCGCCGCGGATGACGAAACTGTGAAGAAATCTTTACATAATTGACAAGTATCTAATGTGCACGTCTCAATTAGTGTCCCATTTGATCACATCAGGGACCTAACACACACACACACACACACACACACACACACACACACACACACACACACACACACACACACACACACACACACACACACACACACACACACACACACACACACACACACACGTTGCATTGATTTGTGTAAGGAAGCAGGATTTTTGGATTTGATGCTTCACAACCCGCCAACTGTGGTCCGATAATTAAATAACACAGTTTAGATGTGGATGCTTCAGCCTCGAGAGCATTTACACTGATGATGGAAACATCTTGTTGATGCTTGTTTAACTTTTTGAAGAAAGGTCTTTGCACACTGAGTCCGTTTTTGATTAAATTGATGGACGTTAAAAAACAAAAAGAAAATAGAAAAACGATCTTTTGTTGTGTCAAACATGTTTGCACACTGATTCAGAAAATTTCATCTGTCTTTGTTTTTGGTAGATTTTTTGTTTTTTTTCACATCCATCCCTGCAAACATACTTCCAGCCTCTGTGTCGGATCAGTTGCTCGGTTGTTAATGTGTAGTTACAGACAAGCTAGCAGCGTATCAAACTGGACCACTGACATCCAGCCGTCGTCCCCACATCTCCCCCGTTCTTCCTCCCTTCATTGGCTTCCTGTAAAATCAGAATCCACTATAAAGAACTTTTACTCAAATACAAAGAACTACACGACCCCCAAGCTACGTTTCTGACCTCCTCGTTCCTTATTCCACCTCTCGTCCACTCAGATCATCTGATCTTCTTTCCCTCCCACGCTCTAATTATGAAACAAAAGTCGAACTTGATTTCTCTGTTTTAGACCCAAACTCTCTGGAATCAACCTCCAACAAACCATCAGATCTGAAGAATCTGTTTGGAGAAGCATCTTAAAACTCAATGGGAGAATAATATTCAGTGGTGCTTGACTCCGCCCACATGACGGATCTTTACCGTATCTTTAAGTCAAACGCTCTCTTTGGTTAGCAGAAAGGACGGGACGTCGAAAACCACAGTAGTCTTTTTTTAAAGATTTATTGTTGTTCCTTTATTGGAGAGACAGGACAGTGGATAGAGTTGGAAATCAGGGAGAGAGAGAGAGAGTGGGGATTGACATGCAGGAAAGGAGCCACGGGTTGGATTTGAACCTGGCTGCCCGATTTGAGGACCACAGCCTCCATACATTAGGACGCGTGTACTATCCACTGTCCCACCAGCGCCCCCACAGCAGAGTCTTTAACTGCACATCTCTGGCTCCAAATGAAATCCTCAGCACAATATGTTGGAGGAGATGTGTCGTCCATTTTGCATGACATTTGCATTTTTATGTAAAGTATTTACACCGCCTTGACGATTGGAGACAGTTCCTGACACACGGGTAATCTTGAGTGATATTACATACAGTATATTTCTCAGGATTGCAGACATGATCAGGTCAGAAAACAAATGTATTTAATCTTCTTTGGATATAGAATAGAATAGAATAGAATAGAATAGAATAGAATACTTTATTGATCCCAAACTGGGAAATTGTGGCGTTACAGCAGCAGGTTATCCAAACACACAATATTCCCAAATAAACACAATATAATATTAACTACAAAGTAAATAAGCACTAAAGATATAAAAACTAAGAATGAGAATATATACAACTAGGATTTAAATCAGCATTACTTCTAGTCTTAAATAAGAAAAGATTAAATACAACATACTTTGCTGGAGGTAGATGTAAATGTGCATATATTAGAAAAATCAGGAGCGCATGGGCAGTTCTAGGCAGGGCCAACAGGGGCCAGTGCCCCTGTAACACTGAGCTTGGTCCCCCCTTTGGCCACCCCTTTCAAAAGGAAGAGCCCCCCCCCCTCAAAACACAGTATTTGACTCAACAACCGGCCTCACAATCTAGTATTAAAAACTGATACTGAAACAAATATAAATCATGGTATTTTATGATGTGCGGTATTATTTGGCATAATATATATATTTAAGCGATCATCTTTGTCTATTTTTCACCTGGTTTAATGTTCCCCTCTGACAGAAAAAGCTGGCCCCCAGTTTGGCCCACCTCAGTAAAAGTGGTCCAGAACCGCCACTGCAGGAACGGGATTCTAACATGACTCCCTTGTCTTTTCTGCAGAACTCTTTATAATCGGTGATATTTAACCCTGAACTCTGCTCGGGTCTGCTCGTCGCAGTCTTTCACTTAAAGGACTTAAAGTGTTGGAACAGGTTGTCATAGTAAAGCTCGGCGACAGACATTTTTCTTCTCCCTCTGATTGTGTGACACGGGCCAGCTGCTCCGTCGGTATGGAGGACACACGTCGTTCACTTTGCTCTCCTGTAACCTCCATCTCCTCTTTGTATCTTTTCATCCCTCTCTCTTCTCTTCCCCTCTTCTCTCTCCCTGACGTCAATGAGAAATTGGATGGTTTTTGATTATTACATGGCTGTCAGGCTTACTGCTATTAATTGAATTGAATCCCAGTCCATCTCCTGCACTTCTCCTTCCCTCTCTCACTCGTCTTTTTTCCTCCTTCTCGTTTGTCACGTTTTTGTTGTGTGTGATTTCTTTTCATTCCCTCTGTCTATTTTTCTTCCCGTTTTTCCTCTTGCACGCGTCCTTTCTCCATCTTCTTGTTCTGTCTTCCTGCCTCTCTCTCTCCGTGTCTCCCTTGTGTTTCTCCTTTTTCCTCTCAAACTCTCCTTCCTCCTTGTCATTCACTTTCCCTACATGTTTTTCTTTTCATCCTTTTCTTTCCAACCATCCTCGCTGTCTATCCGCACGCTCTCTTATTCCTCTGTCTCTCTCGTCCTCCCTTCGCTCCTTGAGCACTTTGATACTGTTGTCATGGTGACGCCCATCATTTTCTGGCATGAATGGAGGATACTTTATTGATGAGACGGCATGGCACAGAAAAGAGAGAAAAGGGAGAGCGATGGAAGAGAGAGAGACAAAGACGGACAGAAAGAAAGAAAGAAAGAAAAGGAAACCACTGGCAAGGAAAAAAAATCTGAGTGATATGGAAATGATCGTCCCCGCTGCTTATGATACAAAACATTTCCACCCTGTAATTTCGCTCAATACGAGCACGCTCACGAGTCAAAGAGGACGCTGCGAGCCAAAGCACGCTGAATCTTCTTCAGCGGGTTTTGGGGATCGTCTGAGCGGCAGAAGAATGAAGAATCCCACAAAAAAAACATTCATATTCATCTCTCAGCGTGAGACGTCGGAGGGGGAGATTCCTCTTTTTAGGAAAGCGTCGAGCTGTTGCGGCCGTGCTCGTGGTTGCCCGCATTTAATGATTTGTCCTGAGTAAACATGGCCGCATAAATAAATGTGTTTTTTTTAATCATCTCTTGTCATGAGCGTTGGTGTCATTCAGGATTGGATGGACATCGTTATGAGTGTGTTGTTGTTTGCACAGTTCAGGCCGGAGTCCGAAGAGCAGAAGGCGAGCTCATTACACACTGCTGATGTAGACATCATATCGGGGAAGATTTGGCATGGCAGAAAAGGCTCGAGATAGCCGTTGAACATTTGAGGCTTTTGGCTGACAACACAAGACTGTAACAACAAAGCCCCCCAAAACGTCAAAACCCCAAATCAAAAGGAAATGTCAGAGATGAATTAGATTTTATAGAGAGAGATGGAAGTTTTCGTCCCTCTATTCTTGGATTTTATCTTTTTTTTTGGGATCCCGCCCATTAGCCACTTCCAAAGCATCAATCAATCTTTATTTGTATAGCGCCAATTCATAACAACCGTTATCTGGAGACACTTTACAGAAAGCAGGTAAAAGACCTGACTCATTGGTAGCACATAGCAACATTTAGCTAAAGTTACAGTGGCAAGAAAAAACGTCCTTTCAAGAGGCAGAAATCTTGGGCATGATGAAGAACAGCCAGCTACAGAAATTGCGCCGGGCTTGAAAATGGGATGGGGGGGGGTGGGATAAGATGTGGGAAGGGGGATAGGGACACCAACGATCCTGAGGTAACCTACGAGAGCTCAGGAGCTCCCAGGAAAAAGATGTGGTTAGTAACTGAGAAGTAAGCAGGAAGTAAACAAGTGGGTAGATCCTGAGAGGGAGTTGTAAATTAATCCATATTTCTGGAGCGAAAAAGTGAAATGCAGATTTTCCAAGTTCAGAGAAAACATGCAGGACTTGAAGCAACAGTACAGTCAGTATAGAGCGAGTTTGGTTGGGTCCGGTAATCCAGTTCAGCAGAGATATTAAACAAGACGGTGTACAGTACGTCCAACTGGGAGGAGTCCCCCAGGGTAGACCCAGAGCGCGCTGGAGGGGTTAGAGGGCCCGTCTGGCCTGGGAACGCCTCAGGATCCCCCAGGCTTAGTGAGTAATTTCTTTAGCCTGATGCTACATGACCCAACCTCGGCTGAGCAGGAAGAGAAAATGGATGAATGGATGCATGTGTAAAACAAACGTCTTGTGGCATGCCGGTTATGATCATGAGATTGTGAAGAATTGACAATAAATGTGAAAAAAAAAAAAAACAAGCAGGTGAATCTGCATTTTTGATGTAACCTTTAACATGACCGGCTCTTTAACTTCCTTTTTCATGATCGTTTGGCCGACAGTAAATCTAACATTTTCTCTCCAGATTACGACCTTACAGACATGACGTTGTAATGTTGATAATTTCATCATTGTTCATACTGTTTTGTTGGATGTCATGTTTCTTGTTACCTGCAGGAGTTAGACCTGAATGGATAAATATTTAAGTATTTCTGGCTCCTCCTGTGTAAATGTAGAGATGAAGATAGACCCACACACTCATGGTTATTACAGTCTGCTGCAGGGGAAGAATAACGTGCATGGGTGGTGTGTGATATAAAGGAGAGAAGTCGACAGTGTGCAGCAGGAAAATAGGAGTGAGAGAGGAGCAGGCTGGACTGGAGGTCGATCTCTGTTAACCTGTGTCTGACCGTTGACTTCTCCCCCCCTTCACAGTCCACCTGCTGTCAGAGACGATCCAGGGAGTGACGGCCACCGCCACCGGGATCCAGTACCAGCAGTCATGGCTCTGCATCCTGTAAGGCTTAATGTGTGTGTGAGGCGTCATGACAGTGACGTGCTCACTTAAACTGATTTTGAGACAAAAGATTTTTTTAAATTGACATCACAAGTAAATGTGGTATTATTTTTTGGTATTTTGATATAAAATGACCAGAAAGACAAGGCCACACTTGTGAAGTATATACCGATAGTCCCCTACTAGTATGGGAAGCGTGTGTGTGTCTGCGTGCGTGCGTGCGTGCGTGCGTGTGTGCATGTCTTATCCAGCACATTTGAATACCTGTTGCTGCAGAAAAAGAGGTTAAGCTTTGGGAATGGAAGGATGCTGCTTTTGAGGTGAAGCGTTGACATTTATAAAAAAAAAATCTCTCTCTCTCTCTCTCTCTCGCTCTCTCGCTCTCTCTCTCTCTCTCTCTCTCTCTCTCTCTCTGTCGCTCTGCTCCAGCTGCAACGTGAAGCATCTCCAGAGGCGTCACGTGTGCATCTCCCGCCTGGAGAGGCCGCAGAACTGGGGGGAGAACTGCTGCGAGGTCCGCTATGTCATCCTGATACTGGCCCCACTCAAAATGGTAACTGTCACCCCCCCCCCCCCCCCCCCCCCCCCCCCCCCCCCGCAGAGAGGGAATGGAAATTATTTGTGAGATGTGTTGGTGGATTACTGAGGCATTCAGGGACACTACTCTGTTACATTTGCTCACATTTTATTCCATGCTCTTAATTGGACTCATGACAGGTGACTGACTTTAAAGCATCTTGTGCATAAACTTCTAAATTTAACATCTGACGTCGAGCTGGAGGGGGTATGCAAATGATCCATTACTTGTGCTTTAGCAGCAGGACGCAAATACTGATCATATGGTGAGTTAGTCACCTGAAGCTAAACACCTGACTTTCAGTTTTAGGTAAAGAAAAGGAAAATGACTGGAAGTGAAAGTTAAAGAAATTTCCCTCTGATTATATTTTTAATCACATGTTTGAAATTATTTTATTTTGCAATTCAAAGCACTTTTTGTCATGCTTATATTTTGTATATTGTTGTGTCTTAAGCCTTAAAGATACTTAACTTCCTAGATAGATGTAGAGGGTAGATTGAAGGTTGGCATAACTACAGTGCACTGAAAGACAATTAATGCAATAAAAAAAACAACTAAGTATTTAATTACAGACCTTAATAGCATCGAGATTAACACATGAACGCTGAGAGCTTTAATTTAAACACATTCAACTGAAAACACAGAGAAACCCCGCTGTTTACATTCTCCTGCACTCGTCTCTCTCCTCCTTCTTCACCCCTACACAAAGTCAAGCTGTCAATATTTGGATGGCATAAATCTACCCTCCGTTAAGCTCTAGTGTTTCTGATTCTAACACATTTCTAAAGGGGATAATAAAGACACGGCCGCTCAGCTGCCAAATGTCTGTTGTAATGAATTCAATCCAACAGCCTCTCAGTGTCCTGTGTGGGCACGAGTGTCCTGTTGGCTGAACCTGTCGGGGTCACTGTTGTGCACCAGATTGTTGTTTTCTCCAGCTCTCGAGAGCTTTCTGAAGCCGTCAGAGAGTGTGCCACATATCCTGTAATACCCTTTCATCCCATCAAAAAATGAACTCTTTTTCTACTTCCCATCAAACCACTCGACCCTGCTGTCCTCCGCTGCCTTATCCTAGGCCTTCAACACACACACACACACACACACACACACACACACTGTACACACACAAGACAAAAATCCCTCTCCTGTCTAGCAGATGGTTCTGATTGTTGAGCCAATCCGCTGGAATCCCCCAATGGGATTTCTTCAAGCGGGCCCTCCTTTTTAACGTGGTTTTCCCACCTAAGAACGCCATTTTCACCACCCTGAAGGAGGGTTGGAGTGACCCTGACAATCAGGGACACCTCAGCTCAACTGCATCATGTTTTCTGTGTTGGTTTTTATCTCTTTTTTTTTTTTTCCCCCAAGCATAAACTTCAGCTTTGTGTTCTTGCCCTCTGCGAAGCTTCCATCGCCTCCTTGCCAGTCTTACAGGCAGCAATCACGACCACTAATGGCATTCTCCGAGACATTAATCTGAGCTCCAAGTAAACATAAAGCACCATTATGTCTCAATTATCCCTGATGGTTTGGCTTCTGCCAGCGAAAAATCTTTGAAGGGGCATGATGATAATGATGATAGGAATTCCTTTGGTTGGCAAATGTATGTAATCTAGCATGTGTAAGGGTGGACCGCTTCCATCACCCTCCATTTAGAGAGCTTTACAGCATTTGTGGCTTTTTTTTTTTCTCCTCTTAGTTACCCCAGCATGAGCGGCGCTGAACAGACGTGACCTTTCTCCAACAATGCCTCTTGTTTCTCATTCACTCAGATTGAGCCATACCTGGAACCGTCTGTAAACACGTTCACTGTACAGTCGACCCCTCAAAGAAATTCCTCTTATGCTAGTTAATCGAGCTGCCCCTCAGCCTTTGAAGTTGGTGGCTCATTGTTACTCACTTTCTACTCCCACGTTTTCCCCCGGGCGGCCCTGGTTAATCAAACCAGTGACCTTCAAAACTTAAATAAATCCCATGATGAAAATCTATCTCCTGAGCATGCAATACTCATTCTTTGTTGGCTTCAAAGGTGGGTTGTGAAACGTCTGCAGGTCCCTGTTGTATTTAGGATGGTAGCTGATGTCGGATTTACAGCAGTAATAGAATCCACGGGTCCCAGGAGGAGGACAGCATAAAAAAAACCTTCTCAAGTGTGAGGTTTTCATGTTCAGTCCGTTCAAAGCCTTCATTGTGTACAGAGTGGATGTAGCCACCGTGATCGTCAACTATTGGTTTCTTGTCCACCATTTTGAAGCTGTAAGATCAGCATTATACTTTTGCTGTTATTTAGTTTTTATGGTGGCAGAAGTGGAAGGTAGAATGAGAAGGTAGACCCTAAGAGGAAGATTGTCAAATGCAGAGCTCTCAAAGTTTCACAGTTCATTCAAAAGGCTTTTACAGTTGCTGAGTTATTCACAAGCTTTATATTTAGTCAGCTAATTAATTAGCATTTGTTGTGGTAGCTCATCTATGTTGGTAATTAGATTAAAAAAGAGCTTTCCAGTCGATGCATGTTTGGTTTTGAGGTTAATATTTTCATCATTATATAAATGCGCTTTATCTGGATATTCCCACACGCTGATGTTATGCAATAATTGGACGAGAGGTAAAGGCTTTAGAGACGCAATGAAGCAATGGTTGCCGCTAAAATTTATATAGCCAGTGAGCCAGGGTAATTCATGATTAGCATATCTATTAGTTGGATAATTAGTAAGCTAATGAGTTAGCTCTTTATGTTGGTTGGCTCATTGCAGTTGTGTAAAAAGCCAAGACAGTGCTAGCTCACTCACATCTCAGGTTGGAAAACAAAGGTTGGATAAACTGGGTTACTAGGATTTTTTTTTATCACTATTTGCTGGAAATGGTTTCTAGTGGGGATGTGTGTGTGTTCCACTAGCCAGTGCTGAAGCTCAGGTTAATTAGCCTGCTTTTCCCACTCTACTACCAGGATGTAAACAAGCACAGTAAGCGGATAGCATCTTGATTGCAGTATTTTATATATAGAATATAGTGATGGAAGTGTATATAGGCTGTGTCAGGTTAAACTGGAATACAGACCGGGGAGTAACATCATTTAGCATGTGCATGTGGATGTTAAGCTGCAGGGACGACCAAAAGCTGGTGATACTAGTGCTGCTAACGTTAGCCACACTCGGCTAACCAAATTACATCTTAACGATACGATACGATACACTCTGTTGTCCCCTTTGGGAAATGTGTCTTGCAACTCAAAGTACTGCAAACATCCAGCTGCTTCAATTTGAATCAATGAATAAAAAACAATAGAAAAACACGTCCACATGTAAACAGAAAGGCACGAACCAAAGCAAAACAACACAACATATATTGCACAAGATCTGCAAAAACACAGCATGAGAGATATGATAACAAAGATAAGAGAATATGATAACACAAAGAGAACACCATGATGCTATTGCACAACCCTCACAGCCTTACCACACATCATTCAGAAACCTGCAGACAGTTTTACATATAATGTGCTGAATGTTTTCTACCTTAAGACAAATCAATAAAACCAAATAAAAAAAGTCCTTTTAGCAAATGAGTCGGCCAGGAACCTCCCCTGTTAAATGTTTTAAAATGTTTTATATATGGGTAGTTTTTCATCACTTATTGCTGGACATTATTTCCGGGGAAATGTTTCAACAAGAATTTGCTGGTTTTTCATCTTGCAGCATCACATTATGTTTGTTTTCACATCAGGGTGGCTTTGTGATGATGCTGATAATCTGTGTCAGTTGTTCTGTATCTGCTTCTCCTTTAGCAGACATCTTTTGAAACTTAATCCACCAACTGTTCAGAGCACACCGAGTGCTGATAACGATAGGGTATCCTGAGCCATCTCACGAGAAAAAGAAAAAAAACACTCTACAGATTAATCAACACTCATTCTCTCAGCCTTTTCAGCTCGGGCTGAAATTCAGTTTCCAATGTGGAGAAAAAAAAAAGAGCTGTAGTTATTCTGTTTGCTGCAGCTGCTTCTGTACCGGCTCTGTTGGTATCATCACCACCTGGATAACAATGCGTCCCTGGCAACACGCTGCTACCGAGCCTGCCAGGCCATTATTAACATCTCTCTGTGACGTGTGACAGCATTATTTGTTACAGATGTGGGATTATTGACAAAAGCCTCCCCCGACACACACAGCATCAAATCTACCACCTTTGATCAAACTCACATCTCGAGAGGAGAATGTGACAGTAAACCGTGCAGGTTTGGAGCCTTGTGTGAAGAAAATGTGACTTGAAAATGACAGCAAACTCATTTTTTTATTCTACATTTTGCTTATTATTTCTCTCATTTTGATCAGTTTAAGTTTTAAAGCTTCTATAAGGACTTTACAGGCGGTTAAGAAATACACTGACATTAATACTGATGAATTTATATGACCTACAAAAGCAAATGAGCTCATTAGTAACAAGATCGATTATTTCTATACGGCTATTTTTAATGGCTGAAACTGCTGCCATGAGGTCAGACTAAGTGTTTTTCAACATATCGCAGAAGTATCTTTTTTTACCATCTCCATGATAAAGATTAACGACGAGTGATCCATCTGACTCGTAAAGGAAGCTGGATAATATTTAATAAGACATTTATTTGTATAGTACTTTTAAAAAGAAGCGTTTACAAAGTGTTTTAACAGAAGCAACTTAACAACAAAGCAACCCGCAGATGAGACACCTGACCAATAAAAACAAAACCCAGACAGTAAAAGAACCCAAATAGAAACCCGACCAACATCAGAATCCAAACAGAAACCCGACCAACATCAGAACCCAAACAGAAACCCGACCAACATCAGAACCCAAACATCACCAACATCAGAACTCAAACAAAAACCCAATCAACATCAGAACCCAAACATCACCAAACATCACCAACATCAGAACTCAAACAAAAACCCAATCAACATCAGAACCCAAACATCACCAAACATCACCAACATCAGAACTCAAACATCACCAACTTCAGAACCCAAACAAAAACCCAATCAACATCAGAACCCAAACATCACCAAACATCACCAACTTCAGAACCCAAACATCACCAACTTCAGAACCCAAACATCACCAACATCAGAACCCAAACATCACCAACTTCAGAACCTAAACATCACCAACATCAGAACCCAAACATCACCAACATCAGAACCTAAACATCACCAACTTCAGAACCCAAACATCACCAACTTCAGAACCCAAACAAAAACCCAATCAACATCAGAACCAAACATCACCAACTTCAGAACCCAAACATCACCAACTTCAGAACCCAAACATCACCAACTTCAGAACCCAAACAAAAACCCAATCAACATCAGAACCAAACATCACCAACTTCAGAACCCAAACATCACCAACTTCAGAACCCAAACAGAAACCTGACCAACATCAGAACCCAAACAGAAACCCGACCAACTTCAGAACCCAAACAAAAACCCAATCAACATCAGAACCAAACATCACCAACTTCAGAACCCAAACATCACCAACTTCAGAACCCAAACATCACCAACATCAGAACCCAAACATCACCAACTTCAGAACCTAAACATCACCAACATCAGAACCCAAACATCACCAACATCAGAACCCAAACATCACCAACATCAGAACCTAAACATCACCAACATCAGAACCCAAACATCACCAACATCAGAACCTAAACATCACCAACTTCAGAACCTAAACATCACCAACATCAGAACCTAAACATCACCAACTTCAGAACCTAAACATCACCAACTTCAGAACCTAAACATCACCAACATCAGAACCCAAACATCACCAACATCAGAACCTAAACATCACCAACATCAGAACCCAAACATCACCAACATCAGAACCTAAACATCACCAACTTCAGAACCCAAACATCACCAACTTCAGAACCCAAACATCACCAACTTCAGAACCTAAACATCACCAACATCAGAACCTAAACATCACCAACTTCAGAACCTAAACATCACCAACTTCAGAACCTAAACATCAGTAAGAATTTAGAGTATTAAGAGATAAAAACAATAAAAAGTGGCTTGAAATAAAGATCAAAGAAAACTTAAAGAAGAGAGAAAAAGGTAAAAAATAAAATAAAAGACCAAAACAATAAGAGAGGGATATAATCTATACACTGAAGTCATCATCTTCCCTCCCACAGAAAAGCACCAAGACAGCGATGGAGCTCGGCAGGACGTTCGCCACCCTCTTCTCTGACATTTCCTTCAGGCAGAAGCTGCTGGAGACGAAGACGCAGGAGGAGTTTAAGGAGGCGCTGGTGTTCCAGAGGCACCAGCTGACGGCGACCAACCAGCAGCCCATCGCTCTGGGGAAGGAAGAGACCGACCCCCGCAGTCACAAACCCCTTCAGGTGGGTCGCAGCTTTTTCCACTGTTTGGCAATCAGGAGCATTTCCCCTCATTTTCAAACAACAGTATTCATAAGATCGATTCCCCGTGCCCTGATAATGAGGAACTGAACTTGTTTTCTTTTTATTTACTTTTTTTACCCTTGAAAACGAGTGATGTCCAGTTGTTTACTTGACTTTTAATCAATATGGGAGTGTAAGGGAGTGTAATTGAGACCAGCGTTTATTTGTAAAATCATGCAGCCACATCTGGATACTCGAAGGAGCCCAGCCTTAATTTGTGATCAACTTTTACCTGAAGTTTTAGAGTAAATAAAATCTGTGGGTGCATGTCCGCTTGGGGGGTTCTGTACTTTCTGAACTCCCCACACATTTCATTCATGTATTCGTCTTTTGATTTCTTTAGGTGACTCTGGAGAAATAAAACTATGCACAATCGTTGGCACATTTCTTCCATTTTTTTTTTTAGCTCTTCCATTTCACCTCCTCTTCTGCCACGCTCGGATGGCTCGACTCCTTCCATCTTTTCTTTCCCCCTAATCAATCAGCATCAACTCCTGCCAGGCCTCCTCAGTGGGTAAATGACCTTACATCTCTCACAGGCCTGTCAGAACTCCCCACCCCTTAGCTACACACACACCTCCAGAGGGTCTCTGCTCAATGCCATGGACCAACATCTCCTCCTAATGTTGCAGCTGACAGGCCACGGCTCCCAGACATTTCCCCTTGTGTGTTTTTTTATATATATATATATATATTAGAGGATTTTGTGAGGTGTTTATCCCAGGGCTTGAAAGGCTCAGTGCCCCTCAGTGAAAACAGGATATATAGACCGACAGAAGGAGAGTAAAGGTGGGGGGAGGGGATCGGGGAGAAGGCAGGTGAAATCAAGAGGAAATGATGAAATGAGAGAGAAAAGACCAAAAAAAAAAAAGTAGCAAGACCACCCGCCTTCCCCGCCTCCTCCCACATCTGAAATTGACATCTGACCACCCGCAAGAACACAACACTCGGAACACAACACTTCCCTTTTAAAAAAAAAGGAGGCCAAATTGTTGTCGTGTTTTGATGTTCTTTCCTTGCCGTTGCCCCGCTCCATCGACCGCTCAGAACGAATGGCAAACAGGTGGACAGTAATTCCTCTCTGGGACTTTTTGTTTATCGAACCTGAGCCAAACGCTGGTGATCCGACCGCACACACACACACACACACACACACACACACACACACACCCTGGCTCCCTTGTAATAATAAATGATTCCATGATGTATAGGGATTTAATGGATGAACAGTCCTTGTTGAACAAGCGTGTGTGGCTTCATAAAAAAAAAAAAAAAAAGAACTAGCCAGCCCGCTCGGAGAGAAGAAAAGAAATGTGGATGCTGTTGTTTGTTTTCAGGGTTGTTTACGTCGAGGTAAATTGCTTTGTTCTGCCAAAAACAGTCAAAACTTTTTTCTCTTTTTTTGGAGACAAATGAGGCAGGAGTGATTCTCCTTAGGGCCTTTCCTACTCACACACTCAGCCAGCCGTTCTTTTTAATTACATAATGCTGTGTTCATCTAGAAAGTGAAACACTGGATAATTGGAGAATTTCATTAATAAGTTCAGTAAATAGTGCGCATTCAGTCTCTGTTTTCCTGAAGGAAGAATGTGCGACATCAATACAGCAGAGATCGAGTGTGTCCTGTGTAAATGTGTCTCTGAGTCCTGACTGTCTACAATGAGGGAGAAGCTCGAGTCCCGCTGGCTGTGTTGTTGTCAGAGCCGTGTTTACATGGACGGGACGGCCGGCTCCTCCCCTTGTGTATAAAAGCTGTTTTAGTCAAGAACTAGAGAGAAGAAGAAGAACATACTCACTGATTATTTGGATGTTAGTAAGAGTTTTTAGATCACGCTCATTCTGTGTCAGTTTACATGAAATGTGAAGCACGAGCTAACTAAAGAGCGCTAACATTAGCATGCTAACACAACAATGTGAAGCTACGAGCTAACTAAAGAGCGCTAACATTAGCATGCTAACACAACAATGCAGGCCACAAGTAATTGCAGCTTAAGCCATGGACAAGTTGGTCCATCACTTGCGCATGACTCCTGCACGTGAAGGCGAGGGGGAGGGGAGTTGGAGGTGTGTTGTCACTGGAGGAGAGCGGAGGCTTCAGGATGGAGGAGGCGTGGCCAAACAGCAGTTTGTTTTGGTTTCATGATGGTGCTCAGAGGCGACATCTACTGGATCAAAAAGTCACACGTTCTTTCTTTAAATCTGCTGTAGCTTATCTTTTTAAAAAGCACATCATGACTCCTTTTAAATCATCCGTCTCTGTTCCCTGCCGTCCTCTTCCTGACTCCTTTTTTTTTTTTTTTTTTTTTAAACATCGTAATCCTCCTCGCTGTTCTTGCTGTTGTCATCGCTCTGTCACTCATGGATCATTCTGAGAAAAAACACAGATCATTATTAAATGTACATGTGAATGTCACCCGGCTCATCTGCTTACTTTGTTTTGGATTATGCAACTGAAGCTTTTGCTCAGACGGGGTGGTTAAATTTGATGATTCAAATCAGCTTACAGGGAGCCTTCTGTGGGATCACTGGTGATTTTGCTGAATCACCAAATGGGAAATGTTTAATCTAAATATGTGATTGCTCGCAGTAGAGTGCAGGGCGGAAGAACATTTTTTAAATGTGTTACATCATCTGGCTTTTTTTTGTTTATTGTGCTCTGTTACCTCACCATGGAGGAGTCGAGCTGAAAAACAGAAACACAGATTGAACAAACACAAAGTCAAGAGTGCAGGGGTTAACTTTAGAAGTTCTTTGAAGGCTACAGATGTCAAGTGTCATATTTGAAGTAGTGCTCCCTCTCCCTGCCTGTAGGTGGCGCATCTTACATGTCTTCACTTGAAAGCTACGCTGCTGTTACTCAGTTTTCTTGCCCCCCCCCCCCTTTTGTCCACAGTGTAAAGATTTCTTCAAAGCCGGCCGGGGGATCTATGAGGACTTCTGCCGCAGGCTGCCGTTCTACCCCTCTGACTTCACAGATGGTAGGTTGGACACAGAGTTGTACTGAAAGTGAATCACCCTCCTTATTATGCCACGCCGGGGTGCCTCTGGCAGCACTTCATTTGTCTGTCAACCCTCTGCCTCAAAACACATCTGTGCTGCATCTGTGTCACACCGCGGGGTCGTCTCCTGCTCAAATGACTCTCTCACATATCTTACTGCTCCCGTCTGTCCCCCGTGCGTCCAATAATGTTGTAATGTCCCAAGTCATGAGACAGGGACATTGGTCTTTACATTCCCATTGCAATCTCAGCACACTGTGGTTTTTATTGACTCGTCAAGTCATTGTCTTTATCAGCACATATCTGTCCCCAGTCGAACAAATGAACACATGTTATCTGACCCTGAGAATTTGATTTCATCTGAAACAGGAAGAAATACTTCGAATTCTTTTCTGTTGCCAAGGATCGTTTTGAATTTACAAATACCTTTTCATACAGCTTTTCCTTGAGAATTAATGAAAACAGATTTATTGACTCAGTTGACCTTGCTTGTGATGTGATAATGAGCATAGAATAGCAGATTTTTGGGGGGATGGGTGTTGGGTTTGGGTGGGGTGGGGGGTAGTTTTCTCGTTGGATTCTCTTCCTAAGCTCCAAAGTTTCTTTCTTAAACATATCAGTTGGCGTTGAACCAAATCAAGATATGAGTGTCTTGTGAGGGTCATCAGAGAATGATCACATGATGAAGGTCACCGGACCAAAACCATACGGATCAAATTAGAGACCAATTCAAGTGTTTTATTCCAGTATGAGTTTTACTCCATTGTTCAGACGAAAGCTAAAACTGCTTTGATAAAAAAATGGAGCCACAAAGCAGGGACCTACTTTTAGAAAAAAAGGGCAGTAGGTATGTAGCTTTAGGCCTTGTAGAATAGTTACTGAGTGTAAGTACTGGAGCTAAATGATGTTCTCTCTAAATGTTTTTTTCTCTTTTTGTAATTAAAGTGTTGAGCCTCCTCGGCGTCATGATGAGTTGAATGTGACTCACGTGTTTGTGTCTGTTTCCCCTCAGGTATCGTTGGCAGTAATAAGACTCTGCTGAAGTACATGACTACTGCCATCTTCCTCTACATCGCCATCCTCCTTCCCGCCATCGCTTTCGGCTCCCTCAATGACGAGAGCACACGTGGCGAGATAGGTACGGGCGCTTACTTTTAGTTGTAGTCTCTGAAAGCATCACAGACAGTGGGACTCGGGTGTTACACCCATTGTAGACAGTCATGACTCACAGAGTTATTTTCAGAGGAGATACTTGATTTATACATTTAAGTGTGAAAAATCACATAGAAAGTCTTTAAGGAATCATTAATAATGTTGACCTGTTACCTGCAGACCTGCTGCTTATGTTGCATAGTTTGGTTGTTCGTGATGAATCTACTTAAAGGCTGAATTGGTCAATTAATTAAGGAATCAAAACTGACACAAATGTTCTAATTTGTGCATTTGTCAGCAATAAAATGCCTTTGTGTGCACACTTAACACTACACAATTAGTGTTTTAGTCCAAATCAATATAGGTCCAAAACTCACTCTCCTCTGCGCCATGGTTTGGTCTCCACCAGCTTCTGAGAAAATATTAGTGTCCAATTTCTTTTCATACACTAGTCACTAACTTTTCCTGTGATGTGCTTTGATATTAAATACAGTGGGATTACTCAGCTTGTCTCTACTGCTGCCAGAAATTTGCCTAAAGAATTCAAAGAGGAAAAGCTAGAAAAGATCATTTTTAAAACAGTACAGGCAAAATATGTATACAGTAAGAAAAAGAGCAAAAAGCAAACTAATAAGTAGAAAAACAGGACAAGAAAGGGGGTTTTATATTCCTTAAAAAGATGTGCATTTATTTGTTTTATTCTGAGATCATTCAAAGAAAGACTAAGAATACTTAACGTTGTAAAAGTTGGGGAAAGTTCACGAGTGGAGTTTAAAATGGATCTTTAAAGCATTCTCTGTGAATCTGAAAGTTACATTTCCTTCAAAAGTACCCTGCGGAGGTTCATGCAAATTAATTGGATCACATCAGAACTTCCTCCTGAGTTCTCTCTGCATGTGTCCTCTCTGCACAGATGTTCGGAAGACCATCATCGGCCAGAGCATCGGAGGGGTCATCTACTCGCTGTTCGCCGGCTCTCCTCTGGTCATCCCTCTGACCACAGCTCCCCTCGCCATCTTCATCAGCGGTAGGCTTCCCCCTGTCTGTCAGCTCAGTCAGAATACACTTATCTTTTTCAAAGTCTGTGCCGACGGGCGATTTGGAAAAGGAGGCTGGGGTTGGGTGGAGTGCTAAGAAGATTACGTCAAAAAAATCAAGAGGAGGCACCCGACCGTGTAGCACAGCAGCTACAGAGTCTGCCGTCCTCATCTGCTCTCTCCTTTTTTCACCGGAAAACACCGCTGGAGTAATTCAGCTGTTTGTTCACACGTTTGCTCCTGATGCAAAACGAGCAAAACTGTGCATATCTTTAAATACATTCAGTCGTCAGGATGTAGAAAACAGCTTTTTTTCTACAGCTAGCTCATCACAAACATGAAACGTTGTCTTCAGTTCAGAGCGACTATAGCTGCTTTCACACTGCAGGTAAAAGTGACCTGAATGTGACTCAGATCAGATTTCTTTTAAAGATGTTTTTTGGGCCGTTTTGCCTTTATTGGATAGGACAGCTGAAGAAAGGCAGGAATCGATAGGAGGAGAGAGTGGGGGGATGACATGCAGCAAAGGGCCGAGGTCAGATTTGAACCCACGGCCGCTGCAATCAGGTCTATTGCCGCTTCACATGGGGCGCACAACATAACCACTAGGCCATCTGGTGCTCCAGATCAGATTTTTTATGACAGCGTGAATATCACAAAAACTGAAAAAAAGTAATGTGAACAGCCGAACTCAAAGATCGGGCTTGCAGTGTGAATGCAGCCTTCACCGCATTAACATGTCTTTTTACAAAACAGCAATTTTTCATTGTTTAGGAATTTAAACAATCTCGACGGCTGGAAGCTGCAGAATCAGGCAGTGACGAGGAGAAAGCTGCGACCTCTGTGCTAGGATGTAGTTTTAATACCGAGGCTGTTTGTTGGGTTTGTGGTGTGATGATCTTTAAAGTAAATGGGTTAGAATTGGGCTACGCTACATTCTCATGGGGATAATTATAATACATTTCTTGCAGCTTGTCTGAGCAGAACAATGGACCGTTTGTAAAGTTGTAACTCATCTGCGCTCAAATCTGCTCAAGATTACAACTAAATTGTTTTGGTTTTCAACAAAACCCATTACAATTCTTTTCTCCTTTTATGTTTGAATGGAAGCATTTTCCTTTTGTTTGTTTGTTTGTTGGTGTGTGTGTGTGTGTGTGTGTGTGTGTGTGTGTGTGTGTGTGTGTGTGTGTGTGTGTGTGTGTGTGTTTTGTTGTACGTTAAATCAGCCCTTATATAAAATATAAAACTCTTCTACAGTTTTTCGCTCAAAGCAGAAGTAACAGAAGTCTTTTCTGGTACTTAATTAATATATTTAATTTATATTTTCATTCTATATGCTTCATATACATTTACATTGGGGTTTTTAGGTTTTTAAACGCTATGACACTTTGAACACTAAATATGTTAATCACCTTTCTTAGCTTTAGTAAATTTTAGTTTATTTTAGTATATTTAATGCCTGGTATATCCATCTATCTATCGTTCATCAACTGGCTCATAATTGTTTGACTTTCCATGTCCATTCCTGTGAAACAACTTGTTTATTTTTGATGCAGGTAATTAAAACAAGGCATATGTTATTTTTGTATTTTATGATATCACACTGATTAGCTCTCAGGGCATATTACAGCCAAGGTAATTTTACAATTAGGCATTTTACAAATGAACATGAGGCTAATCTGCCAATGTTTCTAGAAATATATTTTTCTATATATATAGATATATAGAGACTGTTTTTGGTAAATATTACTACAACATGTCGATGGAGTTTTCCGTAAAAGAAATGTAATAGTGGGAAAAAAAAGGGGACTGAGGCAAGTTGTAAAAAGTACAAAGCAGCAACACTCGGCTCATCATCATCAAACACACTTGCTGGAGGTGACTATTATCTGCTGCATTCACACATTGACTCACCTGTACTTGCAGCAGAATTATTTAAACTCTGGAGAGCAGGAAACATGCCGCCTTAAGTCAGGGTAAACAGAATTTGCAATTTGCATTCAAACATGCCACCCACCTGGACAGTGTCTGGAAATATCCAGGAGCGCGGTGCATGTTTGAGAGGGGATTTAGTGTTCAGTTTTGTAGGTGTGTCATGTTAACTGACACCTCATTCAAATTAGCCAAAAAATCCAAAGAGTCTGTCAATCACTCAGATTTAAAAACACACACAGTCCTTCAGTTGTTTGAGCACATTGGTAATGAGAACAAGTATATTTTTTATTTCACTTTTCTCATATCTGGCATCCTTTCAGTGATCAGAGGAATCTGTGACGACTACAACCTGGACTTCCCGGCTTTCTACGCCTGCATCGGTCTGTGGAACTGCCTCTTCCTCATCCTCGGAGGTATCTTCAATCTCAGCCTGCTCATGAAGCTCTTCAAAAGGTATTTCCTGTGCACGTACACCGTTTTTAAATTGAACTCGCTTTAATTGTTTTCACGTCGGTGGAATCCAATTTATTGAAACGTTTTCTTTTTATCTCTTGGTGCTCTTCTTCCTTCTCTGTCAGAAAGAAAATGTTTTAAATTGGGTGGTCACACCGGTGTCTGCTGCGTAATCACCGGTAGCAGTCGATAGAAAATTCTGTCTTCTTTGTACAACAAACACTTTTTCAGCGATTCTGTTTGACGCCTCCTGTGTGTTAATTTTCTTTCCCCAGAACTTTACAAGTAAGCACAGTAGTACGGGTTAGAGTTTGATTTTTTTTCCCAATAAGATAGGATTTTAAATTGTATTTCTTCTCATTTTTACAATGTGTAAACCTGTTTTTGTTTTGCTGTACTTCCTCAAACTTGACGGCCTTGATTTCTTTGTGTTTTTCCAGGTCGACAGAGGAGGTCATTGCCCTGTTTATTTCCATTGCATTTGTAGTGGACGCAGTGAAAGGCACCGTCAAAAGTAAGTTTATCTTACCTCAGTCATTCCCAACCACTCACCCTGTCAGATGAATTCAATAACTCCTCCATTATTTTCCTCCTGACATGTACTTTTAAAGCTCCTGTGAGGAACTTTTTTATCAAACTTTTTGTGCAGATACAGAGCTGATAGCTTTACCAACAAATTCTAATACTAGCATCATACCCACTTTAGTCCAATATCCATCTTTGTTTTAGATGTTTTTCTGATTCTTAAACAGCAAATCACTCTGAGAAAATGAATCTTCCGTAAAATCCCCCAAAGAGTCTAAATATAGAATGTATTTAAGTTGAACTTTCAAAGATTTTAATTAAATTGGGCAGCAGGGTTATTAACTTGGCTTCCCTCCACTGACGTATCCTTTGTTGACTGATTGTCATAAGGTCTCTTCAACTGATCATTTAATTTAAAAATGTCTGTTTTCCCAGTATTGTTGTTCTTCTGCAGTTGAATACCATCATTCAGACGGATCTCTCAAACTGTAGTGCTTGTTATAGAGCTAACCATACTTTTTTAACTGCTTTTCCGGTTTTCACAAATTCCTTTTTTTTTTAAAAAGGACCATAAATGATAACAAAAGAATTCTCAGACAACCAAGACGCAAAAATACTGATCTTATAAGAGCAGTTCCCCTTTCGAGGTCAAACCACTTATATACAAGCATTTCATCTGGCCAAGAATAAGACACAGAGCGTTCTGGAAAGTATCCAGTCAGGAAGACAGAATAACAATTTAATTCAAAGTTGAGTGTGTCAGCTGAGCTCGTGGCAGAGAGATACTTTGTTCTAAGTTAATCAATACACATCTCAAGCCCAGCCTGCAGCCACATTACATCAACCCTGCCTTTACAGCATCTTCTCTCTGCATATCATAAACATTTCCCGCAATTTAATTTCCAAAAAGTGAAGCCACAATAGCGGAACGTAATTTATTTGGAATGGGATGTTGTCCTGTTTCGGAGATTGCTGGTGCTGGAGTTCAATTTCTAGAAGCCATTTGCAAAATACGCTCCAAGCTCATACGCCATTACCATAACATTAACCGACGCAATTCTGCTGACGCTTTTCTTCCCAAAATGTTTTCCAGTAACATGAGTGACTACATTTTTGGGTTTGCTTCTTTTGCATGCTGCATGACTTTCTCCTGTTTTGATGAAAAAGGCCTTCAGAGCGAGAGTCATGCTCTCCAATAAGTTTGTCAAAAAGTTTGTCGTTATGGTCATACAAAGGATTTAAATTTATAAAGGCTTTATTGGCATGGAAAACATATATTTACATTGTCAAAGAAGAAGAACAAAAATATAGTATTTAAAGGTGACATACTCTCCTCCTCTTCAATCAGTTTAAATAAAAGACTCAGAGCTCCTCAAAACATGTGTGTGAAGTTTCTTGTTCTAAATCCACTCTGATCCTGTAGTTGATCATGTCTATAAACCCCTCTATTTCAGCCCTGCTCAGAACAGGCTGTTTCTGTGTCTGTACCTTTAAATATGTAAATGAGCTGTGTCTGACCACGCCCCCTTTCTGGAAGGGCTTGGGTGTACTCGGTGCTTTCTCGCTCCATGTCCTATTGTTTACGGTGAGAAGGCAGACTCAGAGGGCCGAACAAACACCTAGCTGTGGGAGTGTCACCCACCTGGGGGAGGGGCTACTGCCCTTTGTGATGTCATGAAGGGAAAACCTCCAAACGGCCTGTTTGAGCACACATTTTCTGAAAAGTGGAGCAGGGAAAAGATGGAGAGGATGGACTTTTCTCATCATTGGGTGGTTTTTTGTAGACAGACTAGAGACACATATTAGTGTTAGAACATAACAGTATTTAAGTGTATTTTGCATAATATGTGACCTTTAAAGAAACAGAGCTGTGCAGATTGCAAAATTGCAAAAGAGTATATACAGAAAAACAGATGGTGTTTCACTTAAATGTTGAAAATCTAACCTTGCCCTAAAAAATTGTGCATACAGTTATAGAGATACACATGATGGTGCAGTGATACACAGATGGTTAGACTTTAGTTCATGGTCGTTTTGCACTTTTCAGCAAAGTAGCTGAAAAAGCCATGTTCATAAGAGTGAAACATCCCAAATTTGAATAATACATTTTACCAAAGGTGCAGACAAACCACGCGCGTGGGTTGATTTTGGACTAAGGCCAATGCAGTTTGGCCAGTGCAGAGACATTCACTCATTCCCATTTTTGAACATATTTGATATTAACTTATATTAACTGTTTCAGCCAAATGTCCAAAAGCAGGAAGAAAAAGTAGCGCTGCGTATTTCAAGTATTTTATGACCCAGTTGATCAGGTTTTAGCTGAAGTGTATCTCACTTTTATGATGGCATATCTCCTTCAGCTCTCCCTGCATGCTTTACCGTCCTTGTCAACCATGTTTATTAATCCAACATTATGTCTTTGTTTTCCATTTTTACTGCATTTCCTCTGCGGGAAAAAAACAAAAGCCTTTTTTTAAGACATTTGTTTCCTCTTTGCTGTTGCTACACAAACGATTTGTTGCATTTTGTTTGGGCTTTTCCAATGTGACAAATCCTAGTCTTAGCAATGCAGTGTGATCTTTTTGTTTGTGGACTATGTTTTTAAAACCTTGGGTTTTTGCGTTTTAGCCGTTGCTATCTTAGTTTTAAGAAGCCAGAAATGACCATATTTGGGAAAATAAAGGGTTGATATGCATCGCTACATCTCTATCATTATTGCCAGTCTTCGTTGGCTGCAGCTTTTTAAACACAAGGTAGCCACGCCCTAAAACACTGTTTACACTTTAATGAAATTGGTGCAACATTGGTGCATAAAATCCGATTAAGATCACGTTTACCTGCAGTGTGAACGCAGCCTAGATTTGAAATTCTGACATTTTGACCACCTTAGTATAGTGCATATGGAATAAGTAGTCTAGACAACTAAAAGAAAAGCACACTTGTTAACCAGCAGGTGGAAACTTAATGGGACCAATCAAATGTTTATTGACATATTTAGTCTTGAACAAGTCAACGTTCTGTAATTCTGTGATGCTAAAACCTTCCGGTGTTCCTGGAGGTGGTAGTTTATGGTTCTACCCATTTTTCTTTCTTCTCATCTTAACTGAACACCGTGTTGTGTGATTTCAGTCTTTCACATGTACTACCCTGCATCGCCGCTGGCCAACAGCAGCGTGGAGAACTTCACTCAAGGCGGAGATCTCCTCGGGGGAAACAGGAGTGAAACGGCGGCCGCGTTAGCAATCGACGCGATCCCTGAATCCTTAATCCAGTGCACTCGAGAAAGACCCGTCCTCTGCCTCCTGCTGATGCTCGGGACGTTGTGGATGGGCTACACCCTCTACCAGTTCAAAAGGAGGTACGTGGCAGCACTGCAGCACTGTTGAGATAAATCACTGGAGAGGTTTAAATTGTGTTTGGATGGGAGCACTCGCGGCGGCGGTGGATGAATACTGCTGAGTGGGGCCTTGACTCCAGAGATTGTCAGGAATGACCGAGCTTGCAGGAACTTTCCAGACGGGCTTTCACAAAGCTCCGAGCTTCTGTTCCAGCCTGTTATTCAATAAGCATTAATATTCTACTTCTGATTGCTCCCGGTAATCAAATCAAGCTCAAAGCCGGATTCGATTGTGTAAGCAGAAGGCAGACCAAGGTACTTAAGCAGTGTCAGGATTGCAGCCATTGTCCTTGTCCTGTCCACTGTAATTGTATTCCTCTATTATATGTCTCATCCCCACTCAATCCCTCCTTTTCTCTCTCTCTCTCTCTCTCTCTCTCTCTCTCTCTCTCTCTTCAGTCCGTTCCTGCATGCCAAAGTGAGGGAGGTGCTGTCGGACTGCGCCCTGCCGATCTCAGTGCTCCTGTTCTCCTTCATCGGCTCCTACCTTTTCAGCGACATCGAGCGTCAGTATCATTTGTTGCTTCCCCACAGCGCATAAGAATTTTTCATTCCCAATAAGACAATATAGCCTAACTGACCTGTTTGACAATCGGTCTGCGACCAATGCTACTTTCTCAGGCCTGATATAGACGGCAGGTATCGGGATCAGAATGGGATCATGTTTTGTGTGAGGCTCAGATTTTGGGCCGAGAGATATGATCAATCGTGCCAATATTTGTAGTTGTGGTTCCAAAACATTGGTCCTGGTCGGTCTGGGAGATAGGCCTCCCTGAGGCGGTGCCCATGTTGTCTTTTACGCTCCTTATTCAGGACGCATTGTAAACACATTGGAGATTTCAGTTTTTATTCTCCATTGTCTCACATCACTCTGAATCTCCATTTATTCCTGCCAAGCCTGCAGCTGTTCTTCACGGAGAGAGACCAGCGCCAAACCCTCAAGTGAATTTAAATTTAAGTGCCACAGCCAATTTTCTGTTCTTTTACCTCCTGGGACAATAAGTCATAAGATAATAGACCCATTATCTTATTGTCATTCCTTCCTAAATTTAACCAACCACACTTAATTCAGCAGCATTTGAGCGGGTGGAGCCCGTGATTAGATATGCAGCGTTTGGAAAAAAAAGAATTCAGACACTCTCAGAAACCAACTGTTGGTGTATAAAACATGACTCAGCAGGATGGAATCTGTTGAATGTATGTTTTAATACAACGTTTTCAATCTAGTACTCTGATTGGATTCAATGTGTTCTAAATAGGTAACATTACAGCAGACAGTTTGTCCTAATTATTCTAGCTTGTTCCTATAAATCAAAAGACAGACTCAGAACAATACAAATAAATGTTCATCGAACTGAAGCTCAGAGTAAACTCTACAATGATAGAAGAAGTCGTGTTGTGGAATGTCATCTCTCACTGTACAGCTGAGTAAAATAACGACAGAGGATTCAAAAGTGTTGATGGAAAAATCAGCCTTGGGGTGCCGGGGACCATCTGGGTTCGGGTTTTGAAGTCCGACCTGTGGCTCCTTTGCCGTGTATCACTTTTGGAACGGCGCCATGCTCGTTAAAGTCACTTCTCCCTCACCGACCAATCGAAATGAAGAAGGGGCGGGACTTACAACCTCAGCTTCTTCCTCAACAATGGCGGAGGAAACACTAATCTGACTCATCTTTCTGAGGGAACAATTTCCAGGTCCTTAGTGGAGATAGAATAATAATAAAATATCCCACATGGGGTCGAGACGGTGTGAAAAACATCAAATCCTTTTTTTGTTGTTTTTTGTTTTGAAGCTAGAATCAGCCAGCGTTGTCGTTTTTTTAGCTTGAAATGATCAATGACTTAATAAAATGGCTGCCTTACTATTACGATTTAACTTTTTATTCCAGTTCTGATTTTTTTCTCTCTCTTTCTTGGAACAGTTCCAGTTTTTAAAGTTCACGACCGGCCAGTCTTCAACGTGGCTCCGTTTGAGCGTCTGTCTGCGATGAACGTTCTCAGCGCCATGGGTCTCGGCTTCCTCCTCGCCCTCCTCATCTTCATCGACCAGAACATTGTGGTCTCGCTGACCAACGCGCCCGAGAACAGGTAGAGGCGATGAATCCGTTTATATGTGTGACTTAAGTAACAACCACAACAGGATGAAGATGTCAGATGTGAGGGTGACGCATATTCAGCTTTAACTGGATTTAACTCTTTCTAGGACTCTTCAAAAAAACAAACTCCAAAGACCTTTAGGGATCCCTCTTTGGGATCTGCTGAGACCAGATATTCACCAGTCTGACAGGGAAGGAGGGAGGGAAGGAGGGAGGGAGGGAGGAGGAACAGAGCCAGAAACTTGACATCTGAGTCAAACAGTCAGAGTCAGGGAGCTCTTAAGAAGCCTCAGAGCCAAAACACGATGTTCATCTCTTACCCTGTTCTGGTCAATTTGCATCGGGCGGACCAACACCGAGCCATCAGCCATTTTCAAGTCCTATAGTGGAAATCTATAGCGTCAGGATTCCTACGATTTTTTATCTAATCTGCATTTGTTGGAGAGAAATTAAATGGATATAAATGTCTCAAGAGTGCAAAACAAAAAGGAGATTTGCAGCACTATTTTATGGGGTTTTAAACATTATGATATATTGTTAGTATTTCTTCAACACATAAAATTCAACCTAGAAACAAAAACATTTAAGAAAGCCTCGTTAGCTGTAACACCAGTGGAAAGTTGAGAAGTTAGTCATACTTATCATGTTTGTGTCTTTTGTATAAAATGGGATGTAGCAATTTTATTTATGAAGCACATTTCATTACAGGTAAGCTCAATGTATGTATCAAAATATTCCCACAGTCATTAATAGGGAACACAAATCAAATCTATGAAGTCATACACACAGGGTCGAGTCCAGACGGTGACCAGGGGTGCCCCCCCCCTTGAAATCTTATTGGTCATCATTTTTCATGTATTGCTTTTTCTTTTTTCAAAGTGTTCAGAGTGTTAAAGTTTGATAATAGCATGTTTGATAATCCTGATCTCAATATCAATCAAAAAATAATCCTGATTATGATTTAAGCCGTAATCATAATCGAGCAGCCCTGAGGATAAACCTTTACCGCCCGACTCACACTGACACACACACATTCACACAAACCCCCCCCGAGACGCGGCTGCAGAGGCAGGGAAGGCGCTCGGGCGGTGATCCCTCACTAAAGAGAGCAGAAAAAAATGTCACGGGGGTTGCCGTCATTCTTTTCTGTAAACCTACTGTAATGTCACGCTCGGATTGTGATGTCATCAGCGGTGACATATTGATTCACATGTTGAGAACATAACAAACATGTGTATGTGTATGTTGAACAAAAAGAAAGAGTGAAACACAAGACTGAGTTTATTCAGGCTGTGTTGAAGGGCAGAGCTTACCTTAGGAGCACGGTGGCCTTTGTGTGTGTGTGTGTGTGTGTGTGTGTGTGTGTGTGTGCTCGACTCTAAATACTCATGAATGCAAATTTTCTTTTTGAATCTCTAAATCCATTAGTTAGTTATTTAAAATAGTTCATGTAAGAGTGTCTGCTGCATCATCGTTTGTCTGTGTTAGGCATAGAGTTGTCACAAACCGGATTTTTTGCCTTTGAATCAAATCAAAATCAAACGATATCGATATCGATACCTGTTTTAAAGCCACGGCTGCAAAAAATAGAAGTCCTAGACAGCCGATTTGTGTGGTCATTTCTTGGCTTTGATTTCCCATATGCAGACAATCTTCTGCATACTGTATAATTGCACAAAAATTACCTCTTTTTTGCTTCCTCTCATCAGTTTTTTGTTTTAAAAACATGTCTTTTAAAGCTTTGGTTTCTGTTTGATACTGTCACAGTTTTGACGACCTTATTTGGGCGTACATGTCTGAGGCTGTTGTGTTGTTGTTGTTGTTGTTGTCTCACCTGCTGCAGAGTGTAACAGTTGTGTTGCTCCTGCAGGTTGCTGAAGGGCACGGCGTATCACTGGGACCTGATGCTCTCCGGGCTCATTAACATATTGATGTCGGTGATGGGGTTGCCCTGGATGCACGCGGCCTTCCCCCACTCCACCCTCCATGTGCGCCAGCTGGCTTTTGTGGAGCAGCGCGTGGAGGGGGGGCACCTCTACGAGACGTGAGTAAAACCCGTCTTCTCATCGCCGCCGCCGCTAATCAGCCCGCTCAATTAAAGGTCGTCTTCAGAGCGTGCAGCGGCTGTAATTTGGTTTCGCAGGCTACTTTATCCCCGCGCTTCCCTGATTGCATGATTACTATGTAATTAACCGTTTTCTTTCCGGGTGGAAGAGGTGAGGGAGTTTTTAAGAGATGAGAGGATTAGGTTCATTATTCCTTCCACTCAGATTCTTGCTTAAGCTATAGTTAGCATTTATTCGGGACTTCTGTAGTAATCAAGTGTGATAAGTAGGGCAGAGGGGAAATCTTCTATAGGTAAGAGGAGGAGATCTGATTAGAGATACAGGGAGTAGAAAAATGTGCAAGTCATAGGTCTGGAAATTTAATTTACAAATTTAATTGTATATGAACATTTGCAGATGAGGTTATCTAATTTGTCTTACTAACAGCCTTTATTAAAGAGACAAAAACTATTAAAGGAGCAGTATGTAACTCTGACCCCTAGTGTTTAAAATGGTTACTACAGTCTAAATTCTATGCTCACTCAGGTCACCATGTGGTGGACTCTGAAGCTTCAGTGTTTATCCAGCTCTGCATGGGTCTGTAAACCTTTCTGTGTTCTAACCTCTCTCCATTTTTCAAAAGCATCTCCAATATTGATCCTAGTTTGAGCACGTTTCTGCTCGTGGAGCTTATTAGAAACATGCAGAGGCTTTTTAGGTCGGGTACAATCACTTCTATCTGAACCACTTCTCTTGACCGCTTCCATCACTGCAACACCTGTTGACCTGATAACTGCTCTCATATCTGGCAAACCAAGGGGCGTCCAAAACGGCCGTGTGTGTTGGGGGGGGTCGCCTTAAAAGCGCCTACCTTCTCTGGTCCAAACAAATCCAGAGCATTCAGGAGCAGAATCTAAAGTTAGAAGGAGGACATACTGGCTGCTGCATTGTTGTCAGAGAAGCCAGCACTTCAACATAGCATGTTTCCTTAATGTCTGATCAGATAGTAAGATACCTTTATCATTTCATTCAGTAGATATCTTACTGATTGAACCTTTAAGTGCTCCTCACTAAGATATAAACCGTTGTGAAAGAGGCTCAAGATAAGAAGAGTGAAAACAACATGAAAATAAATAAATAACAACGACACAAAGGCAACATTAAAGAGATGAATTTTGAGCTGCTTTTAAGCGGTCTCCACCGAGGCTGCAGCCCAAAGGGGACAGAGAGTTCAAAAGTTTAGACAGAAAATCTTTTGATTTGAACCCTGAAGAAAAGAAGTCTTCAAACATGAAACTGTAAACTACTCCTACAATCTTCTAAGAGCTCAAAAGAAAGATACATCACAGGAAAAATAGAAAATTAATCAATACATTTTTTATGTAGCTTAATATTTATTTAGTTATTTTTTATTTTAAACAAATCCAACCCCTCAGATCTATGATAACTTTCTGTGGATTCACTTCATCCATTTCTCTTAAAGGAGATCTTTTCTGCTCATCCATATTTAAATACAGACACATAATGTTACGATGTTGGATGTCCAGACTAAACCTCAAGGCAAAGTCTTTTTACACACAGTTGTTGGCGCAATCCCCAGACGTCCTGCCGCTCTGAACAAGACATTACAAGAACTTCATGAGACTTGTCAAGCTCTGCTGACCAATGTTCTAAGTCCACTCTGATCCTGTATTTGATCATTTCTATAAACCCCTCTATTTCAGCCCTGCCCAGAACAGGCTGTTTCTGTGTCTGTACCTTTAAATATGTAAATTAGCTGTATCTGACCACGCCCCCTCTCTGGAAGAGCTCGGGTGACTCAGTGCTTTCTCGCTCCATGTCCTATTGTTTACGGTGAGAAGGCAGACTCAGAGGGCAGAACAAACACCTAGCTGTGGGAGTGTCACCCACCTGGGGGAGGGGCTACTGCCCTTTGTGATGTCATGGAGGGAAAATCTCCAAACGGCCTGTTTGAGCACACATTTTCTGAAAAGTGGAGCAGGCAGAAGATGGAGAGGATTGACTTTTCTCATCATTGGGGGGTTTGTAGACGGACTGGAGACACATGTTAGAGTTAGAGGAACATGGGGAAGTGGATTTTACAGAATATGTGACCTTTAAATTGGGGAATATTTAATCATAGAAGATGAAGAGATCATAACGAGGACATTTTTCAGTATGTAGGAATAAAGTCATATAGACTGTTAATGTTCAATTTCTATTAAAGATTTATCAAACAATCTTAAACACTGTCTGTTGAGAAATCAGGAAATAACACTATCTTCTTCTCTGCAGTCCAATATTAGAAATAAATATATTTCCCCATCTACTCGCTCAAATTGATAATCTTTCAAATGGAAAATGTGCCGGAACACTGATAAGAAAAATCCTGCAGAAAATGTTGTCTGTCCCATTGTGTAAAACTATTGTGAGGCTTCCAGTAACCGTGTGTGTGTGTGTGTGTGTGTGTGTGTGTGTGTGTGTGTGTGTGTGTGTGTGTGTGTGTGTGTGTGTGTGTGTGTGTGTGTGTGTGTGTGTGTGTGTGTGTGTGTGTGTGTGTGTGTGTGTGTGTGTGTGTGTGTGTGTGTGTGTGTGTGTGTGTGTCCTCAGTATCGTCCAGGTGAAGGAGACCCGGCTGACGTCTCTGACTGCCAACATCTTCATCGGCGTGTCGGTGCTGCTGCTGCCCCTCCCGCTGCAGTGGATCCCCAAGCCGGTCCTGTACGGCCTCTTCCTCTACATCGCCCTCACCTCCATCGACGGGAACCAGATGTGCGACCGCATGGCCCTCCTCCTCAAGGAGCAGGTGAGGAATCAGATCAATCAGATGTTGCAGATCAAACGGTTGACTGGCTGCCCGCTACTGGAGCACCAGACCCCGAGTCCAATAATACTTGATAATTTATTTTTTTGTTAGTCTTAAACCCCTCAGGGAACCAGGTGGGTGGAGTTTAGAGAATCAAGACGGATCAGCCAATAAATTAGCATTATTGTTATTCTAATGTTGGGTATCTGAAACACATCTATGTTCATCATCCTCCCTTCAAACACTGATCAAGATAAAAACTCAAAAATGTGCAAAACACTCATCTCAAAATGAACAGATTCTCTTTCCCTGTGTCCGATTTAACCTTCCTGCTGGAAATAAAGACACAAGCCATTTTCCTCCTCACTGTAGCCTGTTCCTCGACACTCTGGCGCCATCAAATGGCAGAGAGCAGTAACTGCTTTAAATACATTTAACAACACAGTGGTTCCCAACCTTTTTAAGCTCATGACCCCCCTTTGACTTGACAAAACTCTGGCGACCCCGGACATCCAAAACACAAACAGCTTTTTGGTTAAATTAAGTTATTTAAATCATGTTATAGTTTCTCTTCTGGGTTGCAAGTAAACATTCATCTTAGAGCACATTTAGGATATTAGGAAGAAAAGCTGGGACAGACAGAGACTCTGTCCAACTACTCAAAGCTTTTAGACTGCATATCATCCATCAGAAGTAACTAATCCCATTCATACACCACCACTGAGGCAGCAGGAGCAATGTGTCTTGCCCAAGGACACAACGGACATGTTGCTCGACCTTCTGGTTGAGAGGCGACGACTCTACCAACTGAGCCACAGCTGCCCGTCTGTTGGGCCCTAGGCAAAAAGTAATTGGGGGGCCCTCCAACCAGCGTTCATCTCAAACTTTGCTGCCGATGTCCCGACGCTTCCTCCTCTTCCTCCTTTTGTTTTGTCGCTCCTATATACAGATAATTTTCCTTAATTTTTTTCATTGTCTTTCATTGACATACTTAGATTTTCACATGCATGCCACGCTTAGCAGAGCAACAAAAATGTGTGCTGTCAGATGGGGCCCCCTTAGGGAGGATTCCTACTGTCGTTGCACACAGCCGCCTGTGTTCATTTAAATATACAATACATTTTGTTTTTGATCCAGACGACCCCATTTCAATTCCCTGCGGCCTTAGTGGGGTCGAGACCCAAAGGTTGCTATAACCTCTCAAAATGTTTTCAATTAAGTCCAGCAAGAGTATATGTCTCACTTTTATTTGAAAAATATGTAATGACAGTAACTTTAGAAGCCACATTAACCTGAAACATCCACATTAACATCTTATTCCAACAGTTTCAAACGTAACGTTAACTGTCATCAAATCAAATGTTGATTTGTCATGTTTTTTTCAGGTGTAAGAATCTCACCTCCATGTGTTTATCCTTTTAAATCTTGTATCGCAAACATAACTGTAACACAAAATGTAAGATACAGACCAAGACGCTCTTCATCAAATCTTAACGTCACAGCTTCAGTCTCATGACATGTTCAGGTTCTTCTTTTCTGATGATGCATATTTACAGGTTTCAGCTGAGCGGAGCGGGGGATTTGTCAAGTCGCTTTTGTTTTTTGTACGCTCCAGATAAGTCATGTTCCATAAGCGATTGCAGGCGCTAACCGAGATTGTGAAATTGTTTTTTATCAGCTTCATACCTGACACCCTGATCAGCTGCGGGAGATTAGTTTTTGGTTTTTTTTGGCAGCTCCACTTAGACCGGAGAGAGACAGGTCTATTTTAGTCTAACGATGGAATGGAAGTGTATGTGTAAAAATAATAATCAGCAGCTTCTCTTCACACAGGAGACCCCCTTGTTTTTATAAATGCACATTTTAAAAAGCTGAATGTTATTTATGATCTTAAAAGCCTGCAGTGCACTTCTGAGAGATGTGTGGGCTGTCCGCTTCCCTGAGTCATTTTCTCCAGGACACCTGAGGACAGAGAGGAGACATAAACCTCGGGCTGGATTGTATTTTAATCTGTCTTGATCCTTCCTCTCTCACCTCCCCGCAGACGTCTTACCCGCCCACCCACTACATCCGCAAAGTGCCCCAGAGGAAGATCCACTACTTCACCTTCCTGCAGATGATGCAGCTGCTGGTGCTGTGTACGTTTGGCATGTACCCGATACCGTACATGAAGATGATCTTCCCTCTGCTCATGATCATGCTGATTCCAATCAGGTACGACCGCCCCGCTCTTCAGCCTCAGAAAATGAATTTATCTCTCAAGTGTGTGACATTTCAGGGGGGCACAAAGGTGTCGAGTGCTGCGTCTGACCTGATTCTGCCTCCACATGAACAAACGTCTCAGCCACAGTCAAAAAAAAAAAACAGAGACATTTGTTTTTGTACCTGAAACCACACACTGCAGACACTTCCTGATTTTCTTTAAATGATGTTGTTAAAGTGTGTTACAGCTGCAAACATCTGGCAGTTCAGCTGAGATACGAGCTATCTCACATACTGTGTACTGACAGCAGATGGAAGCTGTACATTATAAATGATATTTGTAAAATTCACAGAATAATCCACCACACACTGCTGCATCAAACTCGTCGATTATCTTCAATAAAATATGACTTCGCTTTGCTCCCGAGACGCCATCAAGCTTTAGAGAATGTCAGTCAGTATATTATAGTTTCTCAGTTTCAGCTCCAGTTTTCAGTAATCTGTGATTTGTTAACGTCTACAAAGCACACACACCGAGTGTTCTGACACTCTCTGGGTTTCATTTATAGAACTGACTCGTTGTAAGTGGTTAATTCCATTAATTCAGTCAGTGTTGGTTGTTCTCTACAGTTACCACCTGGCTCAGGGCTGCTGACAAAAAGATGGAGGCCACACAAAGTTACTCATTTAAAATGATTTAGAATTAACTGAATTAATCAAACTTATATGAACTTCAGTGTGAAAACATCAAACCACACAGGAGTGAACTGAGGTTGTTG